TGTTGTTATTGAAGGTGGGAAGCAACATCTCTTTTAAGGACCTTTGAAAGAAAAGGGTGGTTAAAGATGGGCAGGTAGTTAGAAAGCAGGGATAGGTCCAGGGAAGATTTTTTCAGGATGGGGGTGATTATAGCTGTTTTTAGGGGGATGGGAACGGTGCCAGATGATAGGGAGAGATTGATGGTGTCGGAGAGTAGAGGGGTGAGGAGAGTGGTGGGGTTAAGGGAGTAAGTGGTGCGTTTCTTGCTGGATATGGTGGTGATGAAGGAGGAGGGGAGACAGGTGTGACAAGAACACATTACATTTGTATTTAGTGTTTCATGTCAGGAGGACGTCATAAGGGGCTGGACAGGCAGGGATCCGCAGGTGGTTCGGATCAGGTGGGGTGGAGGGGGGTAGGTATAGGAGGGTGACTGAAGGCACGGTCGAAGAGGAGGGTCTTGAGACAGGTTTTCAAGGAGGCAAGGGAGGAGGCGAGATGGAGGGACTGTGGGATGGAGTTGCAGAGGGTGGGGGCAGAGTGACTGAAGGCCCCCCCGCCAATGGTGGGCTAGGCAGGGTGGGGACGTGAAGCAGGCGGAGCCCGCTGAGGATTTCCTGCATCAGCATTACAGTGCCTTTTCTGGAAATGGCTCTATTATTAATAATAATCCTTGCATTTGATACAGTGCCTTATGTCTTCAAGATGTTTCAAAGCGCTTCACAGAATATACTGTAAAGTGAATTGACTGTATATTTTGTGAGTGAAACACGGTAGCCAATTGCGCACGATAGTGTTCCACAAACAGTTATGAACAATTGTAATTTTTTTTGAAGTGATTATTACACCCCCTAAAAGCGATCCACCAAGCGACTAACAGTTGGGTTGCTACTTACTGCTAGGTAGAGACCTGTGGAGTTAGGAAACTTGCCCAACGTTTCAGAATCGAACCCAGGTCCTCTCACTTGCGAGGCGAGTGCTCTAACCACTAAGCTACTCCACATGTATTCTAATGGGACACATCCTATTTCCATAATTTTGTGGGGTATTGAAACTTAAATACTGAATATTTCAAATGGTGATCATTACGTTGATTCTACAACAAAATTGTTTCCTGCTTTCTATTAGTAGGTGCAAAACTGTGTGCAGTTCTGTCATTATACCACAAGAAGGATATTGTAGCATTGGAGGGAGTGCAGTGTAGATTTACTTAGATGTTACTACGAGGGATAAATGGATACAACTATCCAGATTGGACAAGTTAAGAGTTTTTCTTTCTGGAGGTGAGATGGTTGATTGTAGGCCTGTTAGAGGTGTTTAAGATTTTGAAATGATTCCATGAGGTGGACATCAATAGGTTGTTTCTGCATGTTGGCAAGTGCAAAAAGAAGGCCAAAATATAAACTAGCCATTATTTTATGCAAAGATAGCGCTCAGTGGAGATTAAAATGAAGAATGTCAGCGAAAATGGTGGTTTCCTTATACTACATAATATTTCTACATAAGGTGTCCTTAGAGCATCAGTTTATCATCTGTTTCACACTATGTATTTAATATGCATCTATGTAGAATGATATATGCTTATTAAAGCTGTGCAGTTTTAGATAAAATTACAACCACATTCACAAAATCCTTGGAGGTATATCCAAATGCAAAATTGGAGATTGGATATACCTTCAAGGATTTTGTGAATCTGGTTGTAATTTGAAACTTTGCAGCTTTAATAAGCATATACTGTATCATTCTTCAATTTTGTTGGGCAACTTTCCTTAGTCAGTTAGTATTCCTCATCCGTGCTTTAACTGTTGAAGAATGGCTGTTTGGAAACTGTATCAGAGTGCAGTTGACACCTTGCACTCAAATCCACAACTTCGCGGGACATTGCTGTGTGCAATTTGCTGCTGCGTTTTGCCCATAAATTATACAGTCAATTCACTTTCACTTTACAGTGTATTCTGTGAAGTGTTTTGAGATGTCTAGAAGACATGTTAAGGCGTTATATTAAATGCAATAATTATTATTAATTATAATTATGACTTATTTCAGTTTCCTCTCCTGATTCCCACAAGGAAATGATCACTTTGTCCTTGTTTAAGAGCTTTTTAAACTCTTATCAGTTATCATAAATATTGCTAGCTCCTCCGCTCTTCCTAGAAACTGCTTTCTGTCTTGGCAATTTTCCCTTTTCCTCCATAACAATGGTTGTTACTTAACTGTTTATTTGTCCTTAAGCCTGAACTATCAATTTATTAATCACATTTGATATATGACCTTATGTCATCAAGACATCTCAAAGTCCTTCACAGGATTTTACTGTGAAGTGTAACAGTGACTATTGTATGCAAACAGGGCAACTAATTGGCACACAGGAATTTCCCACAAAAAAGCCACGAAGTGAGTGCAATCACTTTATTTTGGGGGATTATTGTGCAGCTCCAAGGGTATTGACTGCACTCCTTTACCCCACCTAATTGGCCATTATTCATGTGTGAACCTTCGCATTGACCATCAGCAGACAGACCACTCATAACTTACTGCCTCCCTATCTGCTGCTACATTTCATACAACCAATAGAGGCTGCTGAAGACTATCAGGAACAGGTACCGTGGCTGTTTCCCTCCCTGTCACTGGGAGGTCAGGACTAATTTAGGATAATTAGCTCAGCTGAGACCCAAACTCATCGTAGACAGGATTGGAACCTGCGAGTTCCTGCTCCCTAAACTACAGTTCTATCCAATACACCGTCAGGCTGCCCCTTCCCTTTTAATAATTTTCTGTGAAGTGGCAGGGGTCAGTAGTTGGCAACAAAAATGCCATTGAAAGCTTTGGGCTGCCTTGCTGCCCAACCATTGATTGGCTGGTTCAACCATGATTTTGATTAATAAAATCATCACATTCTGTAACAAGGTGGCAGATTTTCTTTGTGATTACTAGTCATGATATCTACAAGTTCTCAATCTTAAATGTGAGAATTCACATTTTGTATTTAGTTTTAACATTGTATTTAGATTCTTGATTTGATTGATTCATTTGTTGGAATATAAAAGTATTCACATACCAAAACATAAGAATTTGCTGGTGAAAGAAGATCGAGGTCCATCTAGTTCATTTTCCACCATCCTGGCAGTCACTTGACACGTGGTGTCCAAAACTATATACTGTATTCTCAGCTCTTTTCAAAGAGCTGTCACAGACACGATGGTCCAAAATGGCCTCCTTCTGTGCTGTAAAATTCTGTGATTCTATGATATAATTTTAAAACAAATATTATTCTTAAAACATCGCGTCTGTTCCGGCTCTTTGAATAGAGCTACCCAAATCAATCACACTCACCCGCGTTCCTCCCCATAGCCCTGCAAACTTGTTCTGCCCAAATAATTATCTTCTCTCTTAAAAGTTGTTATCGAATCGGCTTCCACCACCCTTTCAGGCAATGCATTCCAGATCCGAACAATTCGCTGTGTGAAATTTCTCCTCCCCTCTGTTTCTTTTAACAATTATTTTAAACCGGTGCCCTCGGGTTCCTGACCCACCGCCAGTGGAAATAGTTTCTCTTGTTCATCCTATCGAATCCCCTCATAATTTTGAAAACTTCTATTAAGCCTCCTCTTAACCTTCTCTGCTCCCAGGAGAATAATTCTAGCTTCTCTACCTCTCCTGATCACTGAAGTCCCTCATTCCTGGTACCATTCTGGTTAATCTCCTTTGCACCCTCTCCAATGCCTTGATATCTTTCTAAAGTGTGGGGCCCAGAACTGAACCCAGTTTCTCGCTGAGGCCCCACCAGTGTTTTATATAAAGGTTCATTATAACTTCCTGACTTGTATTCAATGCCCCTATTTATAAAGCCTAGTAACCCATGTGATTTTTTAAAAATCAACTTTATCTACCTGTCCGGCCACCTTCAAAGATTTACTTATTTGAACCCCCAGGTCTCTCTGTTCCTTCACCCCCTTTAAGATTGTACCATCAGCTTATATCAGTCTCTCCTAATTCTTCTTCCCAAACTGCATCACTTTGCATTTCTCCACGTTAAACGTCATCTGCTACATGTCTGCCCATTTTACCAGGCTTGTTTATGTTCATTTGCAGTCTGCTACTATCCTCCTCACTGTTTACTACTTTTCCTAGCTTAGTATCATCTGCAAACTTGGAAATTATACTCCCTATACCCAAGTCCAGGTCATTTATATCAATCAAAAACAGCAATGTTCCCAATACTGATCCCTGGGCGACATCACTGCACCACACCACTTCCGTCCAGTCAGAAAAACAGCCACTCACCACAAATCTCTGCTTTCTGTCTCCCAGCTAGTTTTGTATCCGCTGCCACTTCCCTTTAATACCGTGGGCTTCTATTTTGCTAACAATAATTCTCAATCTCACCAAATTCCTTAACATAAATTCTCACTCTGTTCCACCTCACCTAGTTCCCTCCTCATACTCACCACAAATCTCTGCTTTCTGTCTCCCAGCTAGTTTTGTATCCGCTGCCATAGGTGGTAAATTAATCTGAAGTATTTGAGGGTGAATTTGAATTTAGATAAGTGAGGAATTTGCCAGGACACCAAGCTCATGAGAACCTCTCTAGCCACACAGAAGCTTTTATTATCCGTCTGAATCGTGTGACCTTGTTTTAAAGAGATAATAGAGATCAGGCACAATCCCACCAGAACTTCTTCCCCCAACTCCAACTCTGAGGCTGGAGGCATGATGTTATGTGGTTACCATAAGTACTCAAACAGGTTTTGTTTCCAGTCTGTATAAAAGAATTGTTGGTAAACTGTAGTATGTATATACTTTTCTAAGCAATTGTGCCTCATGTTAAATATCATTAATGTGTCAAATTTATTTGACAAATGGACTGAAAGCTTCCACTGAAATCTCAATATGTGGACACAGCCCATAGAATTTGTCAGGAGTTTTCCACCTTCTGATGTGTGTTGTTTAGTGAATGTGAAACATGTTGCTGTATAAGGAAAAGTTATTGATGACTTTTTTTTACGCAGTGTCTGGGAGATGTGAACTGAGGTTTGCTGGGACCTAAACTGAACTATCTGAACAGAAGCCACCATTTCTGCAACTTCAGGATGAATGGGGATATGCCTCATGTTCCCATTACAACACTCGCTGGGATTGCTAGCCTCACAGATTGTAAGTACATGTATATCCCATTGTGTCGTAAATGCTAACACAGCTATGTGTCTTATAATTTATGTAGCAGTTTGACTGTTTAATGTGAAGTCCTGTAGCGCAGTAGTTAGAGCACTTTACTCCAAGCGAGAGAACCTGGGTTTGATTCCCAGGCAGGGTGAAATGTTGAGCAAGTTTCCTTACTCCACATGCTTCTGTTTACCTAGCAGTAAGTCAGAACCCGGTTGTTAGTCGATTGGTGGATCGCTTTAATAATCCCTTCAAAAAAATGGTCACTCAATCCATGCCTGTTTGTGGGATACGGCTATGCACAATTGGCTGCCATGTTTTGCCCACAAAAATATACAGTCAATTCACTTTACAATCTCGAAAACGTGATAAGGTCCTATATCAAATACAGAGATTATTATTATTTATTATTCTGATTACTTTCAGTTTCCTGTTCTTGATTCCCATAAGGAAATGATCAGCATCAACACTTTGTCCTTGTTTAAGAGGTTTTATAACTATATCAGTTGTCATAAACATTGTTAGCACTTTCTCTGCTCTTCCTAGAAACCGCTTTCACTTTTCACTTTCTAGTATATTCTGTGAAGCACTTTGAGACATCTTGAAGGCTTCATAGGGCGATATATCAAATTTAAGGATTATTGTTATTATTTCAGATGTGAAGAAATACTATTAAACTCAACAAGCCCTTTCACTTAGGAAGGATTATTAGTCATCAGCACATTCACAAATTGTATAGCGCTACTGTCTAATTAGCTTTCAGCATAACAATTTCTGTAGTAGAACCCAGTTGTAATACACTTTGTTATAAACGCAGACTTTTTTGTATAGCGAGATTGGGGTGCAGACCCCAATATTTACTTAAAAATCAAAGCAAAGTGTAGATGATGAGCAAGGTAAAATTGAAACCAGGCAAGGACAGAACCATGAAGGTGAATCTGAGAGGAGAGGCGGTGGAGAAGAATAGAGTGAAGTAAACAAAAAGGCGAATGGGATGTTGGCTTTATCTCAGGCCTGGAATACAAAGGGGAAGAAATGCTGCTTCAGCTTCACAGTATAGAGCGTTAGTCAGACCCCCTCTGGAGACTGCATTCAGTTTTGGGCACCACACCTCAGGAAAGATATTGGCCCTGGAGGGGGTGCAGCGCAGGTTCACCAGAATGTTACCAGGCCTAAAAGGGTTAAATTACGAGGAAAGGAAGCGTAAACTTGGATTGTGTTCTCGTGAGTTTAGAAGGTTGAGGGGCGATTGATTGATGTATTTAAGATGATAAAGGGATTTGATAGGAGAGCTACAGAGAAGCTATTTCCTCTGGTGGGGAATCCAGAACAAGGGACATAGTCTGAAAATTGGAACTAAGCCATTTAAGAGTGAAATCAGGAGCATTTTTTCACTCAAAGGGTGGTATTCTCTCCCCCAAAAGACCATGGATGCTGGATCCATCCACACCTTCAAGAGTGAGGTTAATAGATTGTTGGTAGGTCAGGGATTAAGGGATATGCGGAGAAAGCGAGAAATTGGAATTGAAAGGATTAGTTGAGGTACAGATCAGCCATAATCTAATTAAATGGTGGAACAGGCTCCCAAGGGCTGAATGGCTTCCCCCTGTTCCTATGTTCCCATGAGTGGTCGACAATATTGAACGTGGCAGAAAGATCGAGAAGGATAAGGAAACAGGGAGCCTGGACAGAGTGTCATTTGTAACTTTGACCAAGGCTGTGCTGTGGGCAGTACGGAAACCAGATTGGAAAGGTTCATACAGGGAGTGGCAGGAGAGGAAAGTGCGAAGCAACGACTCGCTTGGAGGAGGGATGATAGTTAGAAAAAAAGGTGGGTCAAGGGAAGGCTTTTTTGAATGAGGGCTGTTTTCAAGGGGGTGGGAGCAGTACCAGTGCTAATTCAGTAATCAGGTTATCATCAATGTTGTTTCCTGGCTTCCAAGCACTCTGGGCCACTACACTGTGTGAGGGGCACTATATAAATGCAAGTTGTTGTTCCTTTTTCAGCAGCCAATTTACTGTGTGCGCGTGTGGGGGTAATGCGGAATGGGTGGCAAACAATTGTGTCCGTTATAGATCAGGTTGGGATTATGGTTCTGACGAAGGATCGTGGACCCGAAACGTTGACTCACTTTCCTTTCTCCATAGACGCTGCCTGACCTGCTGAGTGTACCCAGCATCTTCTGTTTTTGTTTTGGGATTATGGAACCCAATTACCACATTAATGTATTGTCTGATTGTAGTTACCAGCACATTAATGATTTGTGTAACTATTGTCTGTCTAACTTTAGTTGCCAGCATGTTAGCACATCAGGAACAAAAAAGTTCAGGGAAGTTGTTTCATTTGTTGCTGAACCACGTTTGTCTGCTGAAGTGTAGACTCTTTGTGGGAAAAGGATTTCACAGGTGTCCTCTTATACCTTGCATTTGTTTGTTTAGTTTATTCACATGTGATCTAGACTGTGAGTATTGATGAGCTTTTTATCCATGATCATAAACCCTGTTCTTTGATATTCTTTCCCTATTCCTGTTTAGGAGATGGTGAGGCCTGTTGTAGTAGTTAAGCTACCTCTACACGAACGTGTATATTGTTTAATGTTTCATTGACGAGTGTCTTTTCCTACTTGGCTTTTGGAGAAGCTCTTGGTGTATTTTTGTTTAGATTATTCTTATTATAATCTAAACATATTTCACCCACAAAATTTACAGTCAATTCACTTTACAGTGTATTCTGTGAAGAGACTTCTCAAAGACGTGATAAGGCGCTGTATCAAATGCAAATATTATTATATCATGTATATATGGTCAGTTTTACAAAATGTTCATCTTGTCTATTGAGTGACTTTTAAAAGTTTGAGCAACAGCTGCTAGCTTTATAACTGGGAAGCAATATACACCCTTATGTACAGCAATCGACCACATGGTGGAGTGGCTAGGAATGTCCTATGTTCTACAGTTGAGTTGTTCGTTGTGAACGGCACTATAAAAATTAAATGTTTTGATGTTGCTGGGAAACCTCTGACCACTCACCAGTCATCTTCTGTGAGGGAAATCTTAAGAGGGCAACACTTAAACTTCTAGGGCAGGGTGCTGAGCCTTTGACTTGGGTTGGACCTGTTGGTGTGCCTTATGCTGTGAGTGATCGTGCCAAGGTTTGGCCACGCAAGGGATATTGCTGACTGCGATTTTGTGTGAGAGCTGACAGCACAGACTCGACGACTGTCGATATAGCCGAGGTTTTTCTTGCTTCTGCAGCTGAGGTCGTAAAGAAAACTGAAACTACAGCCGATAAAGCACCCATTGCTGCAGTGGGACACTGTCAAAGTGATCACAAAGGGAGCAGACCTATTAGACGAAAGCAGAATCTTTAATTCACTGATTTCAGTGGCAATTAACGTGGTGCTTTGAGTAGTCACTGCATGTGTATCGCACACATTGGAGGCTTGAGGTCTGAGCACGAAGAAACAGGCTGGCTTGAGTTCTTGTGGGGAATGTATGTGACAGGTTCTGGCCTTTTGCACTGCACCTGCCACCCGCTGGGGCATGAGGGGAGCGCCCTCAAATGTGGAATCATGGCTCTGTACAGCTCAAGAGAGGACTCTGAAGATAGTGATTGGAAGATACAAGGGTCATGAGTCCCAATTATTGTTTCTTATCTGGAGGTTGTGGATCTTAGTTCCTGGGGGTGTCGCAGAGAGGCTTTCTCCAGCCCATTTGCAAAGTCCAGAATCAAGCAGTGAGGTGGTAACACGAGAAGTGATCTCTAACGTCCATCTGAGCAAATATACAAGACCTCAGTCTAAAGCCTCATCTAAAGAACGGCATCTCAGCAATGGTCTATTCCTCCAAGTCCTGTCAATGTCTGGGGTTGTCATCAACTGTGCTTTGTAGATTAGACTACTGAGTCCACCACAGAGGATTGATCAGCGCTTTGGGACGTCCTCCCGACGTGAAAGGCGCTCTATAAATGGAATCTTGTTGTTGTTGTTGATTTAAGTGAAAAGAAATGGAGTTTGTTAGAATATATTGGCACAACCTGTGTAAACCAGCAGAAGGCACTCTGCTGAAGTAATTTTAAAATCGCTAAAACAGCCATCCTTTTTATCAACTACTCACAGAAACCCTCTCCTCGGGCTCAGTCCCACTCTCCCTCAAAACAGCTGTCATCACTCCCTTCCTTGGAAACCTACTCTCGATCCCTTCAACCTCGTGCACTACCATTCCACTTCAAACCTTCCCTTCCTCGCCAAAGCCCTGTTGTTGCAAACCAACTTCGCTCACACCTCTCCCTCCACTCCCTTCTCGAACCCCTCCAGTACGGTTTCTGCACAGCCTACAGTCCAGAGACAGCGCTTGTTAAAGTAATAAATGATGTCCTCTCTGTGTGTGACCAGGGCTCCCTCTGCCTCTTTGTTCTACTGGATCTCTCCGCTGCGTTCGACACGGTTGACTACGCTGTCCTTCTCCACCGCCTCTCCTCCCTCATCCACCTTAGTGGAACCACACTCGCATAGTTTGAATCCTACTTAACCAACTGCCAGTACTTCATCTCAGCAAGTGTTTTTTCCTCTCCCCGCTGCCCGGTCTCCTGCGGCGTACACCAAGGCTCCTTTCTTGGCCTCCTCCTTTTCCTCATCTACATGCTCCCTTTCGGCAATATCATCCACAGACAAGCTGTCAACTTTCCCATGTATGCCGATGACACCCAAATCTACTTCTCCTCCAGCTGTAACTCCCAGTCCACTGAGGTCCTGTCAGCCTGTTTGACGGACATCAAAGCCTGGATGAGCGCATATTTCCTGCAGGTAAATGTCGACAAGGCGGAAACCATACTCTGGCTTCCGTCAATGTCTTCTCTCCTGCGGGTCTGAACTCCTCGGGCTCTCCCTCAGACTCTCCATTTTCCACCTCCACCACAATGCCCGCCTCCGCCCTTACTTCACAACTGACGCAGCTGAAACCCTGAGCCAGCCTTCGGCATTTCCTGCCTGGACTATTCCAATGCCCTCCTCGCTGGTCTCCCCAGCTCCACCATACACAACATGCAATTCATTAAAAACTCCGCAGCCCGGATGCTAACCCGCACAAAACTCGCCCCATCACATCAGTCCTTGCCCGGCTTCACTGGCTCCCAATCACCGAACGGATCGATTTCAAGATACTCTCACTCGTTTTCAAATCCCTTCATGCCCTGGCACCTTCCTACCTCTCCGACCTGCTTACCTCCCACTCCACCACCTTTGCTCGGATGGCTCCGGCCTCCTGATTGTCGCTCGTGCCCCTGTTCCATCATCAGTGGCCGTGCCTTCAGCTATTGCACTTCCCTCAATCCCTCCGCCTTCCCCCCTCCCTCCCCACCTTCAAATCCTGCCTAAAGACCTTCCTTTTTGATGGTGGTGATGGTCACCTCCCCACTCCTGCTCCCTCTGTCTCCTTGTCGGACTCCCCCAGCATGAAGCGCTTCAGGACGCTCCCCCGTGTAAAGGGCGCTGTGTAAATGTAAGTTGCTGTAAACCAGCAGAGGGCGCTCTGCTGAAGTAACTTTAAAATAGCCGCAAAACAAAAACAGAAGTGTCTGGGAACCCTCAGCAGGTCAGGAAGTATCTATGGAGAAAGGAAAGTGAGTCAGTGTTTCAGGTCCATGACCCTTCGTCAGAACTCATTGACTCACTTTCCTTTCTCCAGCTGCCTGACCTGCTGAGGGTTCCCAGCCACTTCTGTTTTTGTTTTCAGATTTCCAGCATCTGCAGTATTTTGTGTTTTGTTTAAAATAGCCAAAGCAGCTACTGACAGAAATTGAGTTGGTGAATCCAATCTTATTACACTACTAAAATATCTGTAAATAATTGGTGGTTTTTCTTCTAGAAATCGGTGAACGGGCGTATTTAGAAATTTTTACTTGATTAAAAAACGATTGATTGAAAGGATTTTTTGGTGTGCAGAGCATATTTCTTTAATTTTCGACTTCATTTTACAAATATAATACAAAGTTACATTTGTATAGCACCTTTCACAGGAGAGCAAAGTGTTAGAGGAAGGAGCTGTGAGCAACGATTGGACAAGCTCGAGTTTTTCAGTCTTATAGAAAAGAGATTCAGAGAGGACCGCATTGACTGGAGGATTCCAGGAGGAGTGGTAGAGGATAGGACTCAGGGCTCATTTGAAAAGCAGCCTATCTCGTGACATCCTTCCAGAACACGCACCCTACTGTGTATGGGGGATGGTTGGTGTGTACGTATGTATGTGTGTGGGAGTGGGGTGGTCATGGCCCGCACAAAGCTCCGCTCCTCGATCCCCCCCAGTCCTGGCCAGACTGCACTGGCTGCCTATCCCAGAGAGCATCAACTTCAAGATCCTCACCCTTGTATTCAAGCCCCTGCACTCCTCTGCACCCCCCGACCTCTCTGACCTCTCTCCTCAAAACAGCACCCGTTGCCTTCGCTCCCCTGGTTCTAGCCTCCTCCTCGTCCCCCGAGTCCTCCGCTCCACCCTCGGCGGCCGTGCTTTCAGCCACTGTGCCCCGAGGCTCTGGAATGGCCTTCCTCATGCCCTTCGTCTCGCTCCCTCCCTTCCCATTTTCAGGTCTCTGCTGAAGGCCTTTCTTTTCGACCGCACCTTTGGTCACCTTCACCCCCTCCCCCTGGATCCAAAACTATAAAGCGCTCTGAGACTCCGTCCGGCGTGGAGGGCACTATATAAATCAAACTTGTTGTATAGGCCATGGGATAGGCTGAAGAACCTTCTTCCTCAGGCAAATGTTGTTATCTTGTGGAAGTTCCTATGGAACATTTGTATAGCACCTTTCACATCAGGAGAAGGTCCCAAGTCGCTGGACAGTCTGGGATCCGCACCCGAGTTGGTGGTTGGGATTTGGAGCGATGGAAGGAGGATAGGAATAGGAGGGTGACCAAAGGCACAGTCGAAGAGGAGGGGCTTGAGATGGGTCTTGAAAGAAGGCAAGGGAGGGGGCGAGGGGGAGTGGGGCTAGTTGTTAGCTCTTTCAAAGAGCACGATCTGCCAAATGGCCTTCTTCTATGCTATAAGATTCTATGGTCTTGCTGATATGAAAAGTGCCATAGCAAAAGCTATTAATAAGAAGGTTGACCCGAGTGAAACTGAGAACTATCGAAGAATCTCACTGATTTCAGCAGCTCTTACGATGATACTATGGATAATCACGACATATAATGGATGCATTGGAGATTTGATCAGGAGGGAACCAGAAATATGGACATCTTCACTTTTGAAACTTTCATTTTCACATTCTGGAGGAGGTGAAAGTGCTACCACATTAGGCAGGCTGACACAGATGTATTCAGTGTTCATAGTCTCAGCATGCGTGTGTGTGTGTGTGTGTGTGACCAGCAAGTTTCTGGTTACCTGACACTAGGACAATTGCATGTCCTGCCTCAATGAGTCTAACTGTGATGGTTATGGTAGAGAATGACTATTTGGCATGACAGACAATTCCTTCTCTTGTGAAAATATACACTGCTGATATTTAATTTTGTGTTATAATAACACTTAATTTAGCGTCTTATCACATCATTGAGATGTCTCAAAACGCTTCACGGAATATACTGTAAAATTAATTGACTGTATATTTTGTGGGCAAAACACGGCACCAATTGCACACAGCAGGTTCCCACAAACAGTCGTGGATTGAATGACCAAAACAATTTTTTTTAGGGATTATTACCCCTGGAATGTGATCCATACACCAATCGACTAATGACCGGGTTCCAGCTTACTTATGTTCCTTCTTACTCCTACTTACTGTTAGTAGCCTTTAGATTTTGCTGATCCAGCAATTGTTTATCTGTTTGACAGTCACTGATTTCACATCCCTGCCCTGCATGCCCTACCTTTGGCTGTTGCACTTTCAGTCTATCTGCCTCACTCCCTGGAACTCTATCCTGGCGTCTGAACAACTTGTCCCTTCCCTTGCCTACTTCAAGTTTGCTTCAGGACCTTCCTCTTTGACGTAACCTCAGCTCCCCTCCCTCTCCCCCCACCACCACTCAACCGCTAGTGCAAACCCTGGATTATCTAGTGCCTGCTGATATCAAAGGAGCTATATAAATGTAAATCTGTTTATTGCACCAATTCTAGTGTCAGCTATATTGTTGTTAGTTATTTAAAACCAAACTCCATATTGAAGGTTTTGTGGCTTACAATGAAAAACCTGAACTAATAGAAATGTGCAAGATTTATTATAAATTCTCATTAATAATAATCCTTGAATTTGATATAGTGCCTTATCACGTCTTTGAGATGTCTTAAAGTGCTTCATAGAATACACTGCAAAGTGAATTGACTGCATATTTTGTGGGCAAAATGTCTGGTAGGTATTTATCTCGATAACTGACTGGGTTTGTTTGCAATATGCCTCATGCCTGACCACATGTTTTCCTCCTCCTCCTGACAGTACTGAATCAGCTGCCTCTTCCCTCCCCACTGCCTGCTACCACCACCAAAAGCTTACTGTTTGGAGGGAGAATTGCAGAAGATGTCAATTGTCTCCTGGGCTGCAGGGATGAGAGCCTCGTTACACAGTTAGTACACAGTCTCAGCCAGGTCTCCACAGACCACATGTAAGTACATCCCTCTTCTAATTAGTAAATGTGATCAGCCATTAGCCTTCAGAACACAGCAGTAGGCTGTCATAGTCTGCAATGTATGTCCACTTAGTTTCTGTGCAAACAATATAATATAATGCTCCCTGTATTTGATATTGTATTTGATATGACATCAACACCACGTTTCACAGGATTTATTGCAAAGTACAGTGACTATTTTTTGTAGGTGAATGCGGCAGCCAATTTGCACACAATGTTGACCCACAAACAGCCATGGCGTGGATATCCAATTTTATTTGGGGGATTTTTGGTCAGGACATTTGGAGAAACTCCCTTCTTGGTTTAGAACAATGCCATAGGATTTGGAAAAATGTAAAAAAAAAAGAGGTTGTTGCCATAGGATCTTTAATGAACACCTAAAACGGCAGATGGGACTTCGATTTTACAGTTTCATCCAAAAGACACAGCAGTGACAATGCAACATTTCCCCAGCATTACATTGGAGCATCAGCCTACACTATGAGCTTCAAAGTTCCCGACATGGGCCTTGAATTCACAACCTTCTGACTTTGACGTGAAGAGTGCTATCAACTGATACTTTCTAAAAATGTAACATTAGACCATCCAGAATTCTGCAGCCTGTGTCCTCTCCCGCACTGAGCTCCACAAGTTTCAGATCCCTTCATGGCTTTGCCCCAAGCTATCTTTGACACTTTCTGCCACCCTACTGCCTTGGCCACTTAGCAAAAGTGGCTAATTAATTTCCTTACACGGCCCAGCTATTTTGCTATTTTGTTTCATTGTTTCAGCTATTTTGCCCCTTTTCTGGGGCCCCATCTTGAGACCAATTTCTTTGGCTGTGCTTTTAGATACCTTGTTCTTCTGAGCTTAGGCCCAGACCGTTGCGTGAAGCTATGAAACCATATCCCAACCTGAAAGGCACCACATAAATACTGTGCAGGTTGTGGGAGTTGTTATCAGCTGGGGGTCTGACGGACGCAGAAGTCCATTGCAATGCTTAAGGGTATACAAATCAGACATAGTACCACATGTACGTGTACATGCCACCTATGCACTGAAATGTCTTTCTGTCTGGAATTAAACCTCTCCCTGGAGAGACACACTGCTTATCTAATCTCGGATAGTATTAGGTGCAGGTGGTCAGTAGTCAAGGCCTGGGGTTCCCTGAGTGTGCGTTGGATTAACCAGCTAAACTTGCCTTTGTGAACACTGTCTGGTTATCTTACCCCTGATACTTTTTGAGATTAGGTAATCAGGATGTGTCTTCACCCAGCTGATCAAATCAAGTCTCATATTTCTCAAGCTTCTCTTCATAACTGAAACCCCCTTAACCATGGAACATCCGAGTCGATCTACACTGTATCTTTTGCTTTTATCTCAGGCTCAGTGTAAATACAATTTTGCATTTATATATTGCCTCTGATGTCTCAAAGTGCATCACAGAATCAGCTGGGAGCCTAATATGGGGGTTGGGGGGGCTTGGAAATGGGGAGGGGTGTGGAGTGGAAACTAAAGGCACGGTCAAAAAAAAATCTTAAGATGGGCTTTAAAGGTGAGGAGGGCGGGCATGAGCAGGAAGGACTCCAGGATGGACTTCTAGGCAGTCGCAAGACTATTGATTCAAGGCTCACATGAGTATTTGAGCTCCCGGCCTAAGATGATGCTCCAGTGCAGTATAGAGGATCTGGCGCTTTGTTGGAAGTGCTGTCCTTCAGATGTAGTGTGGAATCGCTTTGAGCGATTCGAAACATGAAAGGTGTTGCTATACAAATGTAAATTGTGTTTTATTCAATCAACGTCCCATCAACCTGTTCAAAATGTTTAGGTGTCAGCCTGGCTCAGTTGGTAGCAGTCTTGCTTCTGAGTCAGATGGATGTAGGTTCAAGCCCCATGCTGGGACATTGAGCTGTCTTGGCTGTCACTCCAATGCAGTTCTGGGAGTGTGCTACAGTGTTGGAGGTGCTGTCCGTTGGATGAGACATTAAACTGAGGTTGGATGTTAAAGACCTCATGGCACTTTTTGTTAAAAAAGAAGGGAGTTTCTCCTGGTGTCCTGGTCAACACTCCCCCCAAAATAAAATGTGTCATTCACTTTATGGATGTTTTGGGGACATTGCTGTACACAAATTGGCTGCTTTGTTCGCCTACATTAAACGGTTTTGAGACAATCTTTCAACGTAAAAGCACTATCAAATGTAAGAATTTATTTTTGGTCAGCCAGATATCTGACACATGCAGAAAGCCATCGCCATGCTTAACAATATCCAATTAAACAAGAGTTCCATGCATTCCCACCTACTTGTGGAAATTATAGAGATGTTTATTGGAATGGGATGCGCACTGTCTCCCTGGAGGGAATCATCCTGCTTACCCGATTCCAGAGAATATTGGGGTAGGTTGGCAAAAGCCAAGGCTTGTGCTCTACAGAGTGTATGATTGGGTAACTGCTCGAGTGTCAGCTTAGATCTTAACATCTTAAGGCCAAACGTAGGGCTTGAACCCACAACCTCTGACTCAGAGACTAGAGCACTGAGTCAGGCAACCACACAGCCTGACTTTCTGTTTGCGAAATGGCTGCTATGTTTCCCTACAAGAATCAAACACTACAAGTAACTAAGCTGACAGTTTGAGGTGTTTGATGTTTTGGTGCTATTACAAATACTTGTAGCCATATGTTGCGTCCCAATTTTGAGGAAGGGAAAATGACTTCACTACTCAAGTCTTGCCTGAGGTTAATGGCCAATCTTTAAAGATGTTCTCAGGGCAGCAGTAATATCATTGAATAACTTTGTTCTGGTGTAAATTTCTATAAGTACAAAAATAATCAAATGGATCAAAGGGGGAAAGAGGAAGCATAGCTTTAAGGAGAAAGAAGGTGGCAAAGTGCACAATTATGCAAAAACAGCTCAAAAAAGAGATTGGTCTTTCAGAGAGATACAAAACACAGCCCATAAAACCCTTCAAATTGAATAATTGCAAGAAGCTTGCCGGTAATCTCTCTCCCCCCACCGCCACCCCTCTGTTTCCCAGTACTCACTCCGCCCCTTCCCCAATACTCCCTCCCCCCTTCCCCAATACTCCCTCCCCCCTTCCCCAATACTCCCTCCCCCCCTTCCCCAATACTCCCTCCCCCCCTTCCCCAATACTCCCCCCCTTCCCCAATACTCCCCCTTCCCCAATACTCCCCCCCTTCCCCAATACTCCCCCCTTCCCCAATACTCCCCCCTTCCCAATACTCCCCCCCTTCCCCAATACTCCCCCCCTTCCCCCAATACTCCCCCTTCCCCAATACTCCCCCCTTCCCCAATACTCCCCCCCTTCCCCAATACTCCCCCTTCCCCAATACTCCCCCCCTTCCCCAATACTCCCCCCTTCCCCAATACTCCCCCCTTCCCCAATACTCCCCCCCCCTTCCCCAATACTCCTCCCCCCATTTCCCCAATACTCCCCCCCCCCTTCCCCAGTGCATCCCCCCCTTCCCCAGTGCATCCCCCCCTTCCCCAGTCCATCCCCCCCTTCCCCAGTCCATCCCCCCCTTCCCCAGTCCATCCCCCCCCTTCCCCAGTCCGTGCTCCCCCCCCTTCCCCAGTCCGTGCTCCCCCCCCTTCCCCAGTCCGTGCTCCCCCCTTCCCCAGTCCGTGCTCCCCCCCCCTTCCCCAGTCCGTGCTCCCCCCCCTTCCCCAGTCCGTGCTCCCCCCCCTTCCCCAGTCCGTGCTCCCCCCTTCCCCAGTCCGTGCTCCCCCCCTTCCCCAGTCCGTGCTCCCCCCCCTTCCCCAGTCCGTGCTCCCCCCCTTCCCCAGTCCGTGCTCCCCCCCCTTCCCCAGTCCGTGCTCCCCCCCTTCCCCAGTCCGTGCTCCCCCCCTTCCCCAGTCAGTGCTCCCCCCCCTTCCCCAGTCAGTGCTCCCCCCCCTTCCCCAGTCAGTGCTCCCCCCCCTTCCCCAGTGCTTCCCCCCCCCCTTCCCCAGTGCTCCCCCCCCTTCCCCAGTGCTCCCCCCCCTTCCCCAGTGCTCCCCCCCCTTCCCCAGTGCTCCCCCCCTTCCCCAGTGCTCCCCCCCCCTTCCCCAGTGCTCCCCCCCCCCCCAGTGCTCCCCCCCCTTCCCCAGTGCTCCCCCCCCCTTCCCCAGTGCTCCCCCCCCCTTCCCCAGTGCTCCCCCCCCCTTTCCCCAGTGCTCCCCCCCCCTTCCCCAGTGCCCCCTTCCCCAGTGCCCCCCCCCCTTCCCCAGTGCTCCCCCCCCCTTCCCCAGTGCTCCCCCCCCTTCCCCAGTGCTCCCCCCCCCTTCCCCAGTGCTCCCCCCCTTCCCCAGTGCTCCCCCCCCTTCCCCAGTGCTCCCCCCCCTTCCCCAGTGCTCCCCCCCTTCCCCAGTGCTCCCCCCCCTCCCCAGTGCTCCCCCCCCTTCCCCAGTGCTCCCCCCCCCCCCAGTGCTCCCCCCCCTTCCCTCAGTGCTCCCCCCCTTCCCTCAGTGCTCCCCCCCTTCCCTCAGTGCTCCCCCCCCTTCCCTCAGTGCTCCCCCCCCTTCCCTCAGTGCTGCTCCCCCCCTTCCCTCAGTGCTGCTCCCCCCCCTTCCCTCAGTGCTGCTCCCCCCCTTCCCTCAGTGCTGCTCCCCCCCCTTCCCTCAGTGCTGCTCCCCCCCCCCCTTCCCTCAGTGCTCCCCCCCCTTCCCTCAGTGCTCCCCAGTTACTCTCTCCCACCCTTCCCCCAGTTACTCTCTCCCATTTCCCCAATAGTCGCCCCCTCGCACATCTGCCCGTACCCTCCCACCCCCCTGCCCGTACTCTCCACGCTCCCCCCCCCCCCAGTTCTGTCCACCGACCCCATCCTACACGGATTTGTCACCATCTCTCCTTCGTCCCTTACAATCATCATCACCCATATGAAGACAGCACTGAGTCACAAATGACATCCTCTCTCAAGGCCCCCTCTGCCTCTTTGTCCTCCTGGGCTTCTTCACTGCCTTTGACACAGTCATCCATATCAACCAGCTTGACTGTCTCTCCTCCCTCATCCACATCAGTGGGACTGCACTCTTCTGGTTTGAGTCCTAGTTGACTCATTGCCATCGCTTCATCTCCACAAACGGCTTCTCCTCCAGCCCTGCATGGTCACCTGCAGCACAACGCAAAGCTTTCTCTTTGGCTATGCCCTTCTTCTCATTTACAATGCTCCCTCCTGGTGACGTCATCTGCATACTTGGTGCCAGCTTTCACATGTATGCCGGTGACACCCAAACCTCTAGTCGTAACCCCAGCTCCACTGACAATCTGTCCGCTTGTGTCTCAGACATCAAGACCTGGATGAGCGCCAACTTTCTGCAGCCAAATGTTGACGAGATAGAAGCCATCCTCCTTGGTACCCGTCAATGTCTTTTAACCTGCGGCTCTGACCATTTCTCAGACTTACAAAATCTGTGCAGCCTAGGTGTCGGGTTCAATTTTCCACTGTCCTTACTACCCTACATCCTGTCCCTGACCAGAACACTTTCCTCCACCTCTACCACATTCCCTAGTTCCGACCGTACCTCATACCTAACCTAGCTGAGACCATTCTCCATGCATTTGTCACCTCCTATCTTGATTTCTCCAGTACCCTCCTTTCCAGTTTCCCCAGCTTCACCATTCATAAAATCCAATTAATTCAAAACTCTCCCCCCGTATTTTCACCCATACCAGGTTCCATAGCCACTTCATCCCAGTCCTTGCCAGGCTCCACTGGTTACCTGTTCAATACTGCCTCTTCAACATCCATATGCTCCCTCTTGGTGACATCATCCACAGACATGGGGTCAACTTCCACATGTCACCCATGACACCCAACTGTACCTCTGCCTCCCCCTTGACTCCAGGACCCACTGCTGTCCTGACACAATGTCTGTCATACATCAAGTCCTGGATGAGAGCTAACTTCCTTCAGTTGAATAATAATAATAATCCTTGCATTTGATATAGCACTTTTCACGTCAGGAGGACGTCCCAAAGCGCTTCACAGAACACTGTAAAGTGAATTGACTGTATATTTGTGGGCGAATGCGGCAGCCAATTGCGCACAGCAATGTCCCACAAACAGTCGTGGATTGAAAATGACCAATTTATTATTGTTTGGGTTTTGGAGGATTATTATTAGGCTCTGTGTGGAGTAAGGAAACTTGCCCGAGGTTTGGCCCTCTGCCTGGAACTGAACCCGGGTCTCTCGCTTGCAAAGCAAGTGCTCTAACCACTGAGCTACAGGACTCCATCAACAAGACCGAGGCTCTCCTGATTGGCTCCCGTCAGCGCCTCCACACCTTAGGCTGACAGCATTCACCATCCATGGATGCATACTCCACCTTACTAAGCCAATCTGGAACTTTGGCATCTTGTTTGACCCTTTAACTAGTGGAGTCCTGTAGCTCAGTGGTTGGAGCACTCGCCTTGCAAGTGAGACACCTGAGTTCAATTCCAGGCAGAGGGCGAAACCTTGGGCAAGTTTCCTTACTCCACACTCCTACTAAGAATCCCTCCAAAACAAAACAATAATAAATTCGTCATTTTCAATCCATGACTGTTTGTGGGACACTCACTGCTGTGCGCAATTGGCTGCCGCGTTTTGTCCACAAATATACAGTGAATTCACTTTACAGCATATTCTGCGAAGTGCTTTGAGACGTCTGGGATATGAAAAGCGCTATATCAAAATGCAAGGATTATTATTATTATAACTATCCTTTCTACCCCACATCCGTGCCATGACCCATTCTGCCTTCCCACCACCTCCGCAATATCGCCCGGCTCCGCCACTGTCTCACACCGCAGGCTGCCAAAACTCTCATACAAGCATTCATAACATCCAGGCTCTACTATGTGAACTCCCTGCTTGTCGGCCCCCAACTCCTCCCTCCACAGGCTGCAGATCATCCAGAACTCTACAGCCCGTATTCTCTCCCGCACCAGGCTCCGTGACCCTATCACCCCCATCCTCGCTCGACTCCACTGGCTTCCCATCACACAGATGATGCAGTTCAAGAACCTGGTCCTCACCTTTAAAGTCCTCCATGGCCTTTTTCCCATCTACCTCCTAACCCCCTACCAACCTGCTTGCTCCTTCCGCTCAGTGCGCTCCGGCCTGCTTCACATCCCCTGCCTCGCCCTCCCCACCATTGGCGGACGGGCCTTCTGCCATTCTGCCGCCACCCTCTGGAACTCCATTGTTGTTGTAGAATTTCAAGATCCTCACCTTCGCATATAAATCACTTTGTCCTGGCACCTCGCTACCTCTCTGACCTACTTACACCCCACTCCTCCACCTGTCCTCTTTACTCAATGGGCTCCGGCCTCCTGCATATTCCTTGTCCCTTCCCTTCCACCATCGGAGGCTGTGCTTTTAGCCACTACGCCCAAAGACTCTGGAACTCCCTACCTCAATCCCTCTACCTTGCCCCTCCTCGTCTGTCTTCAGATCACACCTGAAGAACCCCCTCTTCAACTATGCCTTCAGTCGCCTCCCTTCTCTCCCTGACTTGGTGTTAAGCTCCACTGCTGTTAAGTGTTCCAAGATGCTACCCCGCAAGAAGGGCACTAAATTAATGCAAGTTGTCGTTATAGTGTCCGTCTCTTTTGCTTATTGCTTCTGGAGGGAACTGGGTGGCAACTACAACTGATCTTGCAAGTGTTTCTAGCACAGCAGCTCAATGCTTGGTGACCAGCTGGCTGTGTTCCTGTGCAAGAGCCAGGAAGCAGGCAGTGATATCTTATCAACAGTGACCTGCAGCCCTGGAGGCCACTCGATTTCTGTGAACCAATTATAATAATTCTTATGATAATAATCCTTACGTTTGCGTTTTTTTAGCATCTTTAACATGTGGAGAATATCTGAAAACGTTTCACAGAATATATTGTAAAGTGTATTTTGTAGGTGAATGCAGTGTCCAATTTTATGGACAAAAGACTAAATAAAATAGGGTTTCCTATTTTATAGTTATGAGTCCTATAACTTAGTGGTCAGAGCACTTGCCTCACAAACGAGAGGACCCGGGTTTGATTCCTGGGCAGGGAGAAACGTTGGGCAAGTTTCTTTACTCCACATGCCTCTGTTTACCTAGCAGTAAGTAACAGTCCACTTAGAATCATAGAATTATACAGCACAGAAGGAGGCCATTTGGCCCATTGTATCTGTGACGCTCTTTGAAAAGAGCTTCCAAATCAATCCCACTCTCCGCGCTCTCCCCGTAGCCCTACAAACTTGTCCTCCCCAAAGAATTATCTACTTCTCTCTTAAAAGTTGTTATCGAATCGGCTTCCACCACCCTTTTAGGCATTCCAGACCCAACAACTCGCTGTGTGAAAAAAAAATCTCCTCACCTCCCCTCTGTTTCTTTTACAACTATTTTAAATCTGTGTCCTCGGGTTACTGACCCACCCGCCAGTGGAAATAGTTTCTCCTTGTTCACCCTATTGAATCCGCTCATAATTTTGAAAAATCCTATCAAGTCTCCTCTTAACCTTCTCTGCTCCAAGGAAAATAATGCTAGCTTCTCTCGCCTAGCCAGTGTTTTATAATGACTTGTTAGTCAATTGTCGGATTGCTTTCTGGGGGTATTAATCCATTAAAAAAATTTGGTCGCTCAATCCATAACCTGTAGCTCAGTGGTTAGAGCACTCGGCTCGCAAGTGGGTTTGATTCCCTGCAGTGCGAAATCTTGGGCAAGTTTCCTTACTCCACACGCCTGATAATAATCCCTCCAAAACAATAACAATTTGGTCACTCAACCCACGACTGTTTGTGGAACACTGCTGTGTGCAATTGGCTGCTGTGTTTCTCCCACAAAATATACAGGTGATTCACTTTACGGTATATTCTGTGAAGTGCTTTAGACTGCTCGAACTTGTGATACAGCGCTATATCAAATGCAAAGATTATTCTTACTATTTCCTTGTGTTCCAGGAAGCGTAAGAAAAATTGCAGCTCAGTTAGAGTTTCTGCAATTGACGAAAGCGAGTAAATCCAGAGGTGCAATTTTCTGAAACCGTTCTGTTCCTTTTTTTTAGAGAGCTGAAAGATAACCTGGGGAGTGATGATCCAGAAGGGGATATTCCAGTTCTCCTGCAGGCTGTCCTAGCCAGAAACCCTAATGTGTTCAGGGAGAAGAGCCTGCAGAATAGATACGGGGTGCAGGGCGGTGAGTAGCCAAACGTTACTCATGCTGAATCGTGTTAAACATTGCATTCGTGATAGTCTGCTTCCTAGAAAATCATTGCAACAGCATGGGAGTTGCTTTGATCCTTATTTTTCGCACGTCACTTCCTGACTGAAACATTGGGCGAATAACAATCTTCTGGCTCAATCTCTACTCCTATATTGACTGTACAGGGCCTTTGAATGGCTGGTTCAGTACACAGAGTGATTAGACAATTTATAAGAATATAAGAATTGGCTAGGCATAAGAACATAGGAAATGCTAGACGAAAAAAGACCAAGGTCCATCTAATTCGCCTTCCACCTTCCTGGCGGTCGCATGCACGTATGTCCCGAACTCCCTATGCACTGTATCTCATAATGTTATTTCCTAAAAGAAAACTATCTAAATCTGTGTTTAAAAGAATTAACATTTCCTGCTTCCCTAGGGAGACGGTTCCACAGGTTCACTATTCACTCAATGAAATAGTGTTTGCCTGGATTTGTTCTGAATTTACCCCACTTTAATCGCATGCCATGTCCTCTGGTTCTACTATTCTGGACAAGTTGAAACAGCCCGTCATGATCCAGATTGCTTTGCCCCTTTAGAATCTTAAAGACACCAATCATGTCGCCTCTCAATCTTCTCTTTTCCAGCGTGAACATGCCCAATTTATTTAGTCGCTCCTCATAGTCCAGTCCTTCCATTCCCTCAATCATTTAGTTGCCCTTCTCTGTATCTTCTCCAATGTCCTTTTTGTAATGCGGCGACCAGAACTGTATCCAGTACTCTTAAGTATGTTCTCACCAATGATCTATAGAGTGGCAGGATTACCACACTATTTCGGCTTACTATTAATCTTTTGATACATCGCAACATCTGGTTTGCTTTACTCATTGACACAGAGCATTGTTGGGAGAATTTCAATTCATTGTCAAGCAGAACCCCCAGGTTATTTTCCTTTTCCATATATATTATTTTTCTTCTGTTCAAATAATAGTCCCTTCCAGGATTTTTTGTCCCCATGTGAAGCACTGTGAAGAACTGTGCCTTCAGCTCCCCTCTCGACTCTCTACCCCATCCTCGCTCCCTCCCTTCCCTCCCCTCACTCTGACCATTTCCCCCCTGCTTGGGTCCCGACCCAACTGTCCAGAGCCTTGCGACGTCCTCCCGACATGAAAGGAGCTCTATAAATGCAATCTTGTTGTTGTTGTTGTTTACATTTCTCCACATTGAATTTCATCTGCCACCGATCTGCTCAATTCCCAAGTGTGTTCAAATCCTCCTGTAACCTATCTTGTAGCTTCGCAATCTACCACCTTCATCAGCTTGGTGTAATCTGCAAACTTAGCCACTGTGATTGCAACTCCTAGTTCCAGATCATTTATAAAAATATTAAACAAAAGAGATCCCATAACAGACCCTTGTGGAACTCCACTGGTAACAATTTCCCAGTCTGATGACATTCCCTGTACCACCATCCTCTGGGCTCTTCTGGTCAACCAATTGTGTATCCGTTGTAATACACTTCCACTGATTCCCGCTTTCTTTACTTTCAGTACCAGCCTCTCAAGAGGAACTGTATAGAAGGCCTTACTAAAATCCAGATATACAACATTCACAGCCTTACCCATATCAAGCTCCCTTGTCACACCGTCAAATAAAACCAGGAAAGACTGGCAAGACCTTCCCTTCGTGAACCCATATTGGCTATCAATGATGATTTTATTTCTGTCCAGATGCTCCATGATTTTATCCTTAATAAGGGTCTCCATAATTTTACCTACAATGGACGTCAAACTTACTGGTCTATAGTTTCCTGGTCACTTTTGTTACCTTTCTTAAAAATAGGAGTAACATCTGTCTTTCTTCACAGCACCGTATCCAGTACTCCAGGATTCAGGGATTTTTGAAAGATTTGTGTCAGCATTTCTGCGACTTCCTCCCTTAGTAACTTAATGATCCTCGGATGCAAGTTATCCGGTCCCTGAGATTTATTTACCTTAAGTTTACACAGCTGTTTGGCAACAATGCTGATGGTGATATGAATAGTGTTGCAACGTTTCTCTGCGACATCCTTGAGCTTTCTTTCCAGATCAGATATGTTACCCATCTCCTCCTTGGTAAAGACAATGCAAAATCTTATTTAACACTATAACAACAACAAGATTACATTTGTATAGAGCCTTTCATGTCAGGAGGACGTCTATTGCAGCCTGTGCAGCATTATTTGTCATGTTGTCTCCTGAACCCACCTTCAGTGGCTGTATTCCATTGCTTGTTTTTCTTCTCGTATTGTAACTAAATTTTTTTTTGTTATTATCCGTGAAAGAAGACCAAAGTCCATGTAGTTCACCTTCCACCATCCTGGCAATAATCGTATCCCAAACTATATACTGAATTCCGAGGTATTATTTTCAAACAGGGATCTATCTAATTTATGCTTGAAACAAACAACAACCTTCTGTTTCCACTGTCTCCCTAAGGAGCGTATTCCATAAGTTTACTATGCGCTCACTGAAGTGATTTGAAGTGACTACAGATTTGTTCCGAATTTATCCCCCTTGTCCTCTGGTTCTCCCAGACGTGAAAGGCGCTGTACAATTGTAATTTTGTATGTTTGTTCTACTGTTCAGTACAAGATAAAACAGTTTATCATGTTCTAATCACAGTTGTCCGCCGAGTGATTTTGTGCAGCCCGTGAACATTTCACCATTCTACTTCCACTCCCTCCCTTCCTGTTGAACGTCCTTCCAGGGCAGTGGCAGGAGCTGGCGGTTGGGAGGACACAGCTCACAGAGCCTTTACTGCAGTCAGTCAGGAAGGCAAGCGTGTCTGTTACCAACTGTGTCCTATCTCAGTGGCAGGAGCTGGCGTTTGGTCCTCCCAACCGCTGGCTTCTGCTGCTGCCGTGGGAGGGAGGGAGCGGGTTGGAATGTTGGAAATGGCCTCGGGCTGCATGTGGCCCGTGGACCTTTCTCAAATAGAGAATGTGGCTCGCCACAGTGAATAGATTGGACCACCCTCTTCTACATTATCTAACTCTTCAGAATCTTGAAGCGTAATCGAATTGCCATCGTTGTTGGTAAATACTATGGGGCACCTGCATGGCACAATAAGGTAGAGAAATAATTAGTGTGATTTAGAAGACTGTCATTGATGGTCATGTCAAATCTATGTTACTAAGGGAAATGTGATCTTGTGCACTACAAAGCTCGATTTTAATGAGCAGATTAATGTATGCATACCGAGGCTTAGGGTGGGTTTGTGTAATAATGTCTTGTGGTGTTCCAGGTATCATGCCTCAGCAGATCCTCCCACACCAGCAGTACAAGCTGCCCCAGAATTCCATACACGGCAGCCCCGCATCCTCTACGTTCCAGCAATCCACCATCTCGCACAGTCCTTCCAGGTAATGTCTCGTTTATGGACCAACTTACTGCTGTGATCTCCAGAACATCAGTTACTGTCATTGTTTTTCATTCCTATTGATAGCAGTTCGAGGGAGGCTTCTATCTAGTGGAGTCCCGTAGCTCAGTGGTTAGAGCACTCACTTCACAAATGAGAGACTTGGGTTCGATTCCCAGCAGGGCGAAACCTGGCGGAGTTTCCTTACTCTATACGCCTGATAATACAACAACAACAACAAGATTCCATTTATAGAGCGTCTTTCACGTCGGGAGGACGTCCCAAGGGCTGTACAGTTGGGTCAGGACCCGAGCAGGGGGGAAATGGTCAGGTTGAGGGGAGAGAAGGGAGGGAGCAAGGAGGGGGTAGAGATAATCCCTCAAGAAAAAAACAATAATAATTTGATCAATGAATCCACGACTGTTTGTGGGACACTGCTGTGCACAATTGGCTGCTGTGTTTCACTCACAAAATATACAGTCAATTCACTTTATAGTATGTTCTGTGAATCGCTTTGAGAGTCTGGAAGACGTGAAAAGCGCTATATCAAGTGCAAGGGTTATTATTATTTGTTATTTACTCCACATGCCTCTGTTTACCTAGCAGAAGTAGGAACCTGGTTGTTAGTCGATTGGCAGATCACTTTTCTTGGGATAATAATCCCTTCAAAAAAAAAAAAAAAAATTTTCAGCCCACAACTGTTTGTGGTACACTTCTGTGTGCAATTGGCTGCCACATTTTGCCCACAAAATATACAGTCAATTCACTTTTCAGTATATTCTGTGAAGAGCTTGTTGAGACTTCTCGAAGACGTGATAAGGCGCTCAAGCCCAGCAGCGTGAGGAGATAACTGAGTGATTTGGAACAGAGTGGGAATTCTGTGCAGGAATTTGGTGAGAGTGTGAATTAGGTGCAGAGAGGGAAGCAGGTACATAATTATTAAATAATTAATATGAAACATGTCTGGGAATATGCAGGGTAACTGAGACCGGTTGCATGCACATTGTGTGCCATGTGGGAACTCCAGGATGCTTTGTGTGTCCTGGACAAACACGTGTGTGGGAAGTGCCTCTGAGATGCTCTCAGGGTTTCTGAGCTCAAGGAGAGGCTGGTGTCACTGCATAGCATATGGGAGGCCGAAGAGTTCCTGGATCAAACGTTTCAGGAGATGGTCACTCCATAGCCACAGTAGGTTCAGAAGGAGGGTGAGTGGGTGACTTGCCTGGCATGATAGGAAGAGGGGATGGGCAGTGCAGAAATCTCCTGAGAGTGTGGCACTCACAAACCGGTTCTCTGTACTGAATACTGTTGAGGGTCAACACCTCTGGGGAGGGCAGTGGAAAGCAAATCGATGCACCCGGGGACACATGGAAGAGTGCTAATTGGGGGGACACAACACTCAAAGGGATACAAAGATGTTTCTGCAACTGCAGATGTGAGTCTCGCATGGGGTATTGCCTCACTGGTGCCAAGTTTGAAGACTTCAAGGAACAGGTACAAAACATTCTATGGGGGGAAGGGGAACAGCCAGTTCCCTTTCCCCCCAGGTGTGGTCCATGTTCTCTTCTCTACCAAAAGAAGCAGAGAGGAGGTTAGAAGAAATGTTTTCACTCAGTTGGGATTGTTGGGATTTGGAATGATCTGCCCGAAAGGGCAGTGAAGTCCGATTCAATAACAGCTTTTAAGAGAGAACTGGATAGGTATCTGGAGAAGACGGGTTTGCAGGTTATGGGGAGAAAGCTGGTGATTGGGGTTAATAAAAGTCAGTTGCTCTGTCAAAGAGCTGCACAGACTCGATGGGCCGAATGGCCTCCTTCTGTGCCGTAACATTCTATGAACCTATGAATGTTGGGAGCCAATATGTAAGGGGGAAAAAGGGCTGAGATCCTACAGGGAGAGTTTCAGAATCTAGGGAGAAAACAAAAGAGCAGGACCTCAAAGGTGGTGATCTCTGGATTACTCCCAGTGTACAAGTGTGAGTATAAAAACAGCAGGATAAAACACATGAATGCATAGCTGGACAAATGGTGCAAAAAGGAGAACTTCAGGTCCCTGGAACATTGGGGCAAGTTGTGGGGCAGGTGGAACTTGTACAAGGTGGATGGGTTTCACCTGAGCAGGGCTGGGACCAATGTCTTTGCAGGAATGTTAGCAGGTGCTGTGGGGAAGGGTTTAAAGTAATTTCGAGATGGGAAGGGAATCAGGATGTAGCATCAGAGAGGACAACCAAGTTATACAGAGGGCTGGGAGAGACGAATAGCAATGCAATCAGGAGTAATCCCGAAAAGGGAGGGATTAGACGGGGGAGAAATGCAGAGCAGGCTCAGTGGGTCTTGGAGTGCATGTGTGTAAATGCACGGAGTGTGACAAATAATATTGGTGAGCTGCGGCTCAAGTTGCCACATGGGGTTATGGTGTAGTGGCAATAACGGAGACTTGGCTCAAACACGGGCAGGAATGGGAGCTGAATATTCCTGGCTACAATGTACTCGGGAGGGATAGGGAAAGGAAAAAAGGAGGGGACGGGGGTGGCAATATTGATTATAGACACGGTTACGGCCCTGGAAAAGGACAATGTGCTCGAGGGTCCATAAACAGAATCTATTTGGTTAGAGTTAAGGAGCAGAAAAGGAGCTGTTACTCTGTTAAGTGTAAACTATAGACCACCAGTTAATGGGAAGGAGAGAGACGAGCAAATCTGCAGCAGATTTCAGAAAGATGTCAAACCAATAGAGTAATGCTAATGGGGGACTTCAATTATCCTAACATAGACTGGCAACATAACAGTGTAAAGGGCAAGGAGGGGGAGGCTTCCTGAAATGTGCACAGGAGAACATTCTGGATAAGTACGTTTCCAGCCCAACGAGGAAGGAAGCAGTGCTGGATCTAGTTCTGGGGTATGAAGTGGGGCAAGTGGAGCAGGTTTCAGTAGGAGAGCATCTGGACAACAGTGAGACAACATCATTAGGTTTAGAGTACTTATGGAAAGGTGAGCAATCAAAGGTGAAATACTCAACTGGAAGAGGCTAATTTCAGTGAGTTAAACAGGGAGCTCGCCAAGGTCGACTGGAAAGATTGTCAGGTAAACAGCTAACGAGCAATGGAAAGCCTTCAAGGAGGAGATAGTTCGGGGACAGAACAAATACATTCCCACAAAGCGGAAAGGAGGGCATCCAAACCTCCCTGGATGAACAAGGAAATTAGGAATAAAATAAAACAGAAAAAGATTGATGACCAGGTTCAAAATATAGAAGATAATCAAATAGAATATAGAAAGTACAGAGGAGAACTGAGAAAGAAAATAAGAGGAGCAAAGAGACTGTATGAGAAAAGATTAGCGGGTAACATAAAAGGGAACCCTAAGATGATTTATAAATCACCCACCACCTGCTCCCTTGACCCCATCCCCACTCCACTCCTTATCTCCCAGCGCCACCTCCTTGCCCCACATATCACAGATATCATCAACCTGTCCCTCTCCTGTGGCTCTGTTCCCATTCCCTTAAAAACTGCCACCATCACTCCCACCTTGAAAAACCCCTCTCTTGATGTGTCGCAGCTATCAATCTCCGGCCCATCTCCAACCTCCCCTTCCTGTCCAAGGTCCTGGAACGAGTTGTGGCCTCCCAACTGCGCTCTTTCCTCTCCACCCATTCATTATTCGAACCCCTTCAGTCGGGTTTCCGTGCTGCCCATAGCACAGAAACTGCCCTGGTCAAGGTCACCAATGACATCCTGACCATCTGTGACCAGGGCTCCCTCTGCCTCCTCGTCCTCCTCGACCTATCGGCGGCATTCGATACGGTCGACTACGCTATCCTCCTCCACCGCTTGTCCTCCACCTCAACCTTCAAGGCCCTGTCCTTGAGTGGTTTAGGTCGTATCTCTCCCACCGTCTTCATTTTGTTTCCACAAACGGCTTTTCCTCCACCGCCCGTACTGTCTCGTGCGGTGTCCCTCAGGGCTCGGTCCTCAGTCCCCTCCTCTTCACCCTCTATATGCTCCCCCTGTGGTGACATCATCCGCAGACATGGGGTTCACTCCCACATGTATGCGGATGACACCCAACTCTACCTTTCCTCCTCTACCCTCAACTCCATGACCCCCGATGTCCTGACAGCTGTCTGTCCGACATCGAGTCCTGGACGAGAGACAACTTTCTTCAGCTCAACGTGCGCAAAACTGAGGCCCTCCTGATTGGCTCACGTCAGTGCCTCCGCACCTCAGGCACTGACAGCATCAGCATCCAAGGCCGCACTCTCCACCTCTCAAAGCCATCAGGAACCTCGGGGTTCTGTTCGACCCTGAGCTGTCCTTTCTCCCTCATATCTGCGCCACAAGTGGCACCGCCTTCCATCACCTCCGGAACATCGCCAGACTACGGCACTACCTCACTCCTCACGCGGCTGAAACTCTGGTCCACGCCTTTATCACCTCAAGGCTGGACTATGAGAACTCTCTCCTCGCGGCCTTCCCGGCCCTCCCTCCACACTGCAGGTCATTCAGAACTCTGCAGCTCGTGTACTGTCCCGCACCAGACACCGCGACCACATCACTCCCACCCTCACTCTCGCCCTCACTCCCACCCTCGCCCTCGCTCGCCTCCACTGGCTCCCCATCCCCCAGACGATCGAATTCAAGATCCTCATCCTCACCTACAAGGCCATTCCCGGCTTTGCTCCCTCCTACCTCTCTGACCTACTCTCCCCCTACCTACCTGCCCTTACTCTCCGTTCCTCTGGCTCCGGTCTGCTCCACATCCCCCGCCCCAACCGCCCGACCATCGGTGGCCGGGCCTTCAGTCTCTCAGCCCCGAGGCTCTGGAACTCTATCCCCAGTGCCTTCGCCGCTTCCTCCCTTTCCTCCTTCAAGGCCGGTCTCAAGACCTTTCTCTTTGACTGTGCCTTCAGCTCCCCTCTCGACTCTCTACCCCCTCCTCGCTCCCTCCCTTCCCTCCCCTCACCATTTCCCCCCAATGCTTGGGTCCTGACCCAACTGTCCAGCACCTTGGGACGTCCTCCCGACGTGAAAGGCGCTCTATAAATGGAATGTTGTTGTTGTAAGTATATAAAGAATGAAAGGTTAGTTAAAGGTAGAGTGGGTCTAATTAGGGACCAAAGAGGAAACCTTGTAGAGGTAGAGGGTACGGCTGATGTACTGAATGAGTACATTGCATCTGTCTTAACAAAGAAGAGGATGCAGCCAATGCCACAGTATCAGAGGAGAGGATAGAGAAATTGAATAACATAAGAATAAACCGAGAGGAGGTACTGATTCAGGCTGTCGGTGCTCAAGGAGATAAGTCACCCAGTCCGGACAGGAGGCATCCTAGGTTACTAAGGTTGGAAATAGCAGAGGCTCTGGCCACAATCTTTCAATCCTCCTTGGACACCGGGGTGGTCAGAGGACTGGAGGGTTGCAAATGTTACTCCCCCATACAAAAAGGGGCAGAAGGATAAACCCGGGAACTACCGGCCAGTGCCTAATGTCAGTCATGGGGAAACTTCTAGAGACTATAATCCGGGACAAAATAAATTTTCACTTAGAAAAATATGGGTTAATAAAGGACAGTCAATGTGGATTTGTTAAAGGCAGATCGTGTCTAGCAAACCTGATAGTTTTTTGATGAAGTAACGGAGGTAGTGCCGTTGATGTAGTTTATATGGATTTTCAAAAGGCTTTTAAGAAAGTGCCATATAAGAGACTTATTCGAAAAATTGAAGCCCACAGTATTAAAGGGACAGTGGCAGCGGATACAGAACTGAGAGACAGAAAGCAGGGCAATGTGGTAAAGCTTTGTTTATGAGACTTGAGGGAAGTGTGCAGTGGTGTCCCCCGGGGGTCAGCATTGGGGCCACTGCTGTTTTTGATCTATATAAATGACCTGGGCTCGTGTATAAGGAGGACAATTTTTAAGTTTGCAGACGATATAAGCTGGAAATGTAGTAAACAGTGAGGAAGATAGTAGCTGGATGAGCGCAAATTTCCTTCAGCTGAACGTTGACAAGACGGAAGCCAAACTCTTTGGCTCTCGTCAACGTCTAAAGTCTCACAGCTCTCAACTCCTCCACCGACCCGACCTCCCCCTAAAACTCTCCGGACCCGTCTGTAATCTTGGCGTCAGGTTCGACCCCCAATTATCCTTCCTCCCCCACATCCGGTCCCTCACCAGCACCGCTTTCTTCCACCTCCAACGCATCGCCCATCTCCGCAAGTACCTCTCCGAGGCCGCTGAAACCCTGGTCCATGCCTTAGTCCCCTCTCGGCTGGACTACTCTTAACGCCCTCCTCACCGATCTCCCATCCATAAAATCCAAATCATCCAAAACTCTACCGCCCGCATTCTCACCTGCACCAAACTACATTCCCCGATCCCCCCAGTCCTGGCCGGACTGAACTGGCTGCCTGTCCCAGAGAGGATCGATTTCAAGATCCTCACCCTTGTATTCAAATCCCTCCACTCCTTTGCCCCCCCACCCCGACCTCTCTGACTTACTCTCTCCTCACAACAGAACCCATTGCCTTTGTTCCTCCAGGTCTGGCCTCCTCTTCGTCCCCCGAGTCCTCCCCTCCAACCTCGGCGGCCGTGCCTTCAGCCATTATGCCTCGAGGCTCTGGAATTCCCTGCCTCACTCCCTTCGCCTCGACCCCTCTCTTCCTACTTTCAGGTCCCTACTGAAGACCTTCTTTTCGACCGCGCCTTTGGTCACTATCTCCCCCTCCCCCTGGCTCGGCCCCGGGATTCATTACTGCGAAGCGCTCTGAGACGCTGTCCGGCGTGGAGGGCGCTATAAATCCAATTTGTTGTTGTAACAGCCTGTAAATGGCCATAGACAGACTGGTAACATGGGCAGACACGGGGCAGATGAAGTTTAATATGGAGAAATGCAAAGTGATGGAGCTTGTGAGGAAGAATGAGGAGAGGCAATATACGCTGATGGTACAATCTTAAAGGGGGTGAAGGGACAGAGAGACCTGGGGGTCATATAGTAAATCTCTGAAGGTGACCGGACAGGTAGATACAGCTGTTAATAAAGCATCCGGACACGAGGCTTTGTAAATAGGGCATAGAATACACAAATCAGGAAGTCACGATGAACCTTTATATAAAACACTGGTGGAGCCTCAGCGAGAGACTGGGCTCAGTTCTGGGCCCCAAACTTTAGGAAGGATGTCAAGGCCTTGGAGAGAGTGAAAAGGAGATTGACCAAAATGGTACCAGGAATGAGGGACTTCAATTATGAGGAGAGGCGAGAGAAGTGAGGATTATTCTTCTGGGAGCAGAGAAAGTTGAGGGGAAATTTAGTGGAGGTGTTCAAAATTATGAGGGGATTTGATAGACTGAACAGGGAGAAACTGTTTCCACTGGCGAGTGGGTCGGTAACCAGAAGACACAGATTTACACAGCGAGTTGGAATGCATTGCCTGAAAAGGTGGTGGAAGCCGATTTAATAACAACTTTCAAGAGAAAAGTTGATAGTTATTTGGGGAGGACAAATTTGCAGGGTTATGGGGAGAGCGAGGGGGAGTGGGATTCATTTGAAAAGCTCTTTGAAAGAGCCTTCATGGACCTGAGGGGGCCGAATGGCTTCCTTTTGTGCTGTATAATTCTATGATTCTATATCAAATGCAAGAATTATTATTAAGGATTATTATTATAATTTCTGCATATTTTCAGACTGGTGCTCAAGGAAACATACTGTAAAATATGAACCCTAACCAGATAAAATAACGCCAATGAACAGTTTGAAGTAAAAATTCTGAAAGTATTTTTGAGCTGTTTGCTGTATTATCATGCATTTTGTTATTCTTTCTCTCTTGAGAGAGGGAGAATAACAAAATGCATGATAATACAGCAAACAAGAGAGAGGACTGAGAAAAAAACAAAGGGGAAAAATGATTCTACTCCTCTCTCATTTAATATCCAAAGGGATACAAATCTCCCATTTAAGAAATTACATTGCCATAGGCCATTACCTTGTGAAACTCCTCAACTTGAATAAATATCAATATTAAATACAGTTAAGTGGCTTGTTTGAGGATAAGTGATAGTGAGGTATACTTGCCTAGCAACTGAGATCTACAGGAGCGGCCAGGGCACCACGAGAAATGCCCTTCTCTTCTTGAATAGTGCCATGGGATCTTTAACGTCCACCTGAAATGGCAGACAGGATCTCAGTTTAATGTCTCATCCGAAGGATGGCACCTCTGATAATGCAGCACACCACCAGCAATATATTGGAGTGTTACCTTGACTGAATTAAAAATTCTGCCATGGTGCTTGAACCCACAACCTCCTAACTCAGAGGTGAGAGAGCTACCATCTGAAGCAGGCTGACGCCTGAATAGTGTGATGTCCACAGTTTGGAAACTAATGAAGGGACCTTCTGGGTTCAGGCAGTGTTTTGGAGTACACATATCTTTTTAGCCAGTAGCTTGGATGTTGCTGTGATATGGATAACCTGAATGAAACATGATATATTGGATAAATGTTCTTTTGTTTGTCTGCAGCCGGTTTGTACCACCACCGTCGAGTTCCAGCACCAGATACCTGCCTCAGCAGAACAGTCCTGTCCCTAGTCCCTATGCTCCCCAGAGCCCTGCAGGTTATATGCAATATCAACAGCATCCTCCAAGTTACACACAACATCAGCAGATACAGCAAGGCAAGTAGCTGGCATTTTAAGAGTAATCAGAATTGACGTGTGGAGTTTTAAAGTGCACGGGTCTCTGAATAGTTTTTTCTGTTTGGTTTAACATACTTGTTGCATATCACTAAATCTTCTTGTAAACTTGTGTAGATTATCTGTTCTTGGGAACCTTCCGTTTAATTTTTACTGATTTTCATCATGAAAAGCCCCTTTTTGTGAAGATTAGTTGTTGGGGTGGGTGTGATGCCATCCTGCAGAAAGACATCAGATCACAGTATCATAGAATCATACAGCACAGAGGAGGTCATTCGGCTTGTCATGCCTGTCCCGGCTTTCTGAAAGAGCTGCCAACTAGTTCCGCTACCGTGCTCTTACCCCGTAGCCCTGCAAGTTTTGCCTTTTTGAGTACCTTTTGAAACCTACTATCGAATCTGCTTGCACCATCCTTTCAGGAAATGTGTTCCAGAACATAACAATTCTCTGGCTTCTGTTGTCCCCTTAGAATTTCTGAATACTCATGAGTATCTACATGAAGTGATTCATTTATATAAGTGAAAATATCATTAATAGCAAAGCTTTGTGGAGCCCTGTAACTTAGTGGAAAGAGCTCTCTCCTCGGAAGCAAGAGGACCTGGGTTTGATTCCCGGGCAGGGTGAAACATTGGGCAAGTTTCCTTACTCCACACGCCTGTTTACCTAGCAGTAAGTAGGAACCCGGTTGTTGATCGATTGAGATCACTTTTCAAGGGTAATTAAATAAAAAAAAAGTTTTACAAATATTTGGTCACTCAATCCCCGACTGTTTGTGGACACTCACTGCTGTGTGCAATTGGCTTCCACACTTCCCCCATAAAATACACAATCAATTCACTTTACAGTATATTCTGTGAGGCGCTTTAAGACGTCTCGAAGATGTGATAAGGCGCTATATTAAATGCAAGGATTATTATTACTGTGCTTTTCAGCCTCTGTGTCCAGTCCCCTGATTCCCAGTGGCATGAGGAACATCCACGACAGTAAAGTGGCCAGCCAGATGTCCAGTTCTTCATCCAATCACCATACAGATAATTCTAGGCACGGATCGACCGAGGACTACATGCACATGGTTCATAGACTTGGCTCTGAGGTGGGAACTTTCTGTATTCGTTGAGTTCTTTGTGCAATGACATCTAAAAAGCAGATGGTTTTGTAATTAAGTTTTGCCAACAAAATACAGTCAATCCACTTAACAGTATATTCTGTGAAGTGCTTTCAGACGTCTCAATGACGTGATAAGGGGCTGTTTCAAATGCAAAGCTTATTATAAGTTTGCACAAATTTAGTGGGTCTGTCATGGCCTTGTTTTATTTTTCTAATGGCACCTTACTTGTGGAGTCCTATAGCTCAGTGGTTAGAGTACTCGCCTCGCAAGCGAGAGGACCTGGGTTAAATTCCCAGACAGAGTGAAACATCGGGCAAGTTTTCTTACTCCACATACCTCTGTTTACCTAGCAGTATGTAGGAACCCAGTTGTTAATCGACTGGTTGATCGCTTTGCTAGGGGTAATAATCCCTTCAAAAAAATTATAATTTGGCACACCAACAATTAATAATAATCCCAAAAATAATCCCAATAATAATTTAATAATGATTCCAACAAATAACTCTCTGCCATTTCTGCCACCTCCAGCGTGATCCAACCACCAAGTATACCTTTCCCTCCCCTCCCCTCTCAGCATTCTGAACGGGCCGTTCCCTCCATGACTTCCTGGTTCATTCTTCCATCACCAACAGGTGCGCTCCTCCCCTCCACACACACACCCCCATCCCGGCACCTTCCCATGTAGCGCAGCAGATGCAATACCTGCCCTTTCACCTCCTCCCATACAACTGTCCAGAGCCCCAAACACAGATTTCAAGTGAGACAGCGATTTACATGTACTGCCACCAATGTAGTTTACTGCATTCATTGCTCATGATGTGGTTCCCCCCCTACATTGGGGAGACAAAACGGAGATTGGGCGACTGATTTGCCGACACCTCCTTTCTGTCCGAAAGCACAACCCTGAGCTTCCGGTTTCTTGCCACTTCAACTCTCTCTTCCACTCGCACTCTGACCTCGCCATCCATGGTCGCTGTTCCAATGAACCACGGTGCAAGCTCGAGGAACACCACCTAATTTCTCTGCTTGGGACCTTACAGCCTCTGGCCTCAATATTGTACAATAACAGCTCACCTTCCCCCTCCCCCTCTTCTGCGACCATTGCCACATCATCTTGGTCCCAGACACACCTTTTCTCTCTCTGGTCGGCCTGTTCAGTTGCAATTCCCCCTCCCCTCCCCGTGTTTTGCATTATTAACACCTCTTTAACCCATCATCCCCTGTCCTTTACCATGCTTCCCCCACTGCCCTCCCCCAACCTGACCCTCAGCTCGGGTCCGTAACTCTGTCTGTCCAGCGCCTTGGGACGTTCTCCCGAAGTGAAAGGCGCTATACAAATGTAATTTTGTTGTTGTTTACCCCATATTCTCCTTTGTCTTCCTTGCCCTGCTTCCACCCTCTGTTTGGCCCTTAAAAACCTCTCCCTCCGAAAATACCCTAGTTCTGACGAAGGGTCATGGACCCGAAACGTTGACTTACTTTCCTTTCTCCATAGATGCTGCCTGACCTGCTGAGTGTTCCCAGCGACTTCTGTTTTTATTTCATAATTTGGCAGTTTTGACCGAGTTCCCTGATGTTTTTCCGAGGCGAGATTTAGTACCTCGGAATAATATTATCTATAAAACAAATAATTTGGCCACTCAATCCACGACTGTTTGTGGGACGCTGCTGTGCACAATTGGCTGCCATGTTTCGCCCACAGAATATACAGCCAATTCACTTTACAGTATATTCTCACGGATTATGTTTCTGGAAGGGAAATACAAAAATATTGCTTATGTGGCCCGCTGACGTTTCTCAAATCCGACATCTGGCTCTCAGAAGCCATCTTGGTCCAGGATGACACTTTGTTGGAGGTTCCATCCTTCAATGGCATTAGTCTGCATGTCAGTCTGCCTATTCAGATGGACATTAAAGATCCCGTGGCGCAATTTGAGAAGAGAAAGGAGTATTGCTGGTGTACTGGCCAACAATTCCCCCCAAATAAAGTGGGTCACTCACCTCATGGCTGTTTGTGGGACACTGCTGTGCGCAAATGAATTGCCAGTTCTCCTACAAAATACATAATCTCTATAGTCTATGCTGTGAAGAGCTTTGAGATGGCCTCCTGATAAGAAAGGTGCTATTTCAAATGTTAAAGTTTGCTTATTGATTCTGTAACAACAACAGCTTGCATTTGTATAGCTCCCTTCAAATGGTTTAGTGTCTTGGAGCGCTTAAGTAGTAAATCTGTATAGTAAATATTACCATTTGTAGTTCTTCAAACTCGGCTGTGAGATCATTAATGCCTGGACGATCAATGATCACCATTGGTGGTCGGGCCTTCACCCTCTTTGCCTCCACCCTTTGGAACTCCATCCCACAGTCCCTTCACCTCGATGCCTCCGTTTGCCTTCTTGAAGGCATGACTCAAGATCCTCCTCTTCAACTCGCCCTCCACCCCTCCTCATCCCAACCCCCAGCTTAGGTCCAAATCCCTGACAGTCCAGTAACTTGGGACATTGTCCTGATGTGATAGGCGCTGTGTAAATGTCATTTGTTGTTGTTGTTGTTGATCTTCTTTATCCAATGAAACGTGGACTTGAAAATACACTTCTCGGATTCAAGGCCAAACTTCACTCCGGCTCAGCTAGACTGTACCCCACCCGGTTCAGGATGAGCCACTCTCTTTCCCAGTCCATGTTGTGTTATGTTCTAGCCCATGGATTTGAGTTTTGGTCCCCATCCGAGCAAATGAGCACAGGTTGAGGTGCTGGGGACTACTCTTGTCATCTGTGTGTTACAAGATCAAGTACAGTGAAGATCACAAAGCTAGGTATCCAGTTTCCTCAAGGATGCAGAATGGAGACATTTGCACACTGGGAAATTGGAAGAGCGAGAGTTGCAAATGAACTAAAAACGTGATGATTTCTGGCTTTATACAAGAGGATACTGCAGCAATGACTGTAAGCCCTGTGCCTCCCTTTTCTATTCAAGTTTTCCACACGGGTCTTTGTTTGCCTGCCCAGTATCCCTGTGTGTTAGATGGTTTGATTTCAAAATACAGTCGCAGTAAAATTTTTACTTTACTGTAAAATTCTGTGAAGCGCTTTGAGATGTGTTCCCGACATGAAAGACGCTATATCAGATGCAAGAATTTGATTATCATGGCTGACTAGGTGGTGTACTCGTATGTTTAAAAGTGTTTCTGTGTCCCTGGACTCATTGCTGGAGAGCAGAGAGGTTTCCTAGTATTTTTTGGTCAGTAACTTAGTAGTTAGAGCACTAGTCTTGCAAGCGACAGGACCTAGCTTTGATTCCTGGCAGGGCGAAACATTGGGCAAGTTTCCTTACTCCACACGCCTCTGTTTACCTAGCAGGAAGTAGGAACCTGGTTGTTAGTCGATTTGGCGGATTGCTTTTCTGGGAGTAATAATCCCTTAAAAAAAAATTTGGTCACTTATTCTACGTCTGTTTGTGGGACACTGCTGTGCGCAATTGGCTGCCGCGTTTCGTCCAAAAATATACAGTTAATTCACTTTACAGTATATTCTGTGATCCTCTTTGAGACATCTCGAAGACATGATAAGGCGCTGTATCAAATGCAAGGATTATTATAAAACAGCTGATCTGAGAGCCGTTGATCAGTGATGCTGCATTTTGAATGCTTGGTTAATGTGTTTATTTGAAGTCTCTACCAATGTTTGTGTTGTAGGATGGCGATTCCTCATTGAGAAACACTGCTTCCTTCCCCTTAAGATCCCCACAAGCGGTGTGTTCTCCTGCTAGCAGTGACGGAACTCCTAAAGGTAAATGCTAATGACTGAGCCCTTCCTGAATGCAATCTGAAAAATGTATATAAAGCTGGGATCTGAATGAGGCTTGTGTTCCTGACCTCCAAGGACATCCCTGACCTTTATAATGCATCCTCAGCATTGTGTTTGGATTAGTCCAGTCTATCTGAGTTGTTTAATATTCTGTTGTTCGAGCGCATGTAGAGTACTGAGCATGACATTTGTGCTGGTAGATGAATGGGAAGTGAGTCCTGGCTTGTGCTCTCAGCCAGTCTCCAGGCCAGTCTGATGCATGGTTTCCATTGGGATAAATGGAGCTGCTCCAGGAGATGTGTCCTGTGGGATGCACATTTCCATCATGCAGTGATACCTCGTTCATTTGCCATCTCCTGATTGTTGTCAGATCATAGAATCTTACAGCACAGAAGGGGGCCATTCAGCCCATTGTGGCTGTACCGGCTCTTTGGAAGAGCTACCAACTAATCCCACTCCCCCGTTCTTACCCCAATTAGTACCACTACCCCGCTTTTACCCCAATTAGTCCCATTCCCCACTCTTACCCCTACACACTGCTCATTGCTAAACTCCCCCCTCTGCGCCACCTCTAGTCCCCACAGCTTCCTGCCGGCCGACATGTCCCACTAACCCACCACCTCTTGTCCCAGCGTGCGCATCTTGGCCGCCGCCCCCGAGCTGGCCCTCCCTCAAAATGCCCCCCTCCCTGCAACTCTCCCTCTCTGTCCTGCTCTCTTTCCGCTCTCCCCACCTCCTGTGTCTGCTTGACACCCCCACTGCCTCCCTCTGCTCCAGCCGGGAATCCTCCCCAGGCTCATCGCAGCACTCAGCGCTGGCTGTCCAGCAGCAGCCACACCGACTTCCCCATAACCGCCGCAAGCCACCACGGACCCTGACCCCGGGGGCTAACCTCTCCTCCCTCATCCACATCCCCACCCTCCCTGCCAACTAATCCACCACCCCCTCCCATCCCACACATCCCCCTGCCAACTGTCCACTCCGCATTGGCCTTCAAAATGTCTGCTCCATCTGCAACAAGACCCTGGCCGTCAATATTCTCATCCTCCGGAAACCTGGATCAACCCAGGTGACACCTTCCCCCTCACTGAGGCCACACCAACCGGCTACACCTACCACCATGCCCCACACCTCAACTGCCGTGGCGGTGGTATGGCCCTCATCTCCAGGGCATCACTTGCCCTATCCCCCAATCCCACCGGTTTATTCCCCTCTTTCGAACACCTTACTCTCTGCCGTCCCTCCCACCTCTTTCTAAAAATTCTCCTAATTTACCACCCTCCAAAATCCTCCTTCATCACTGACATCGCCACCGTTCTAGCCTCCCTCTGCCTCTGCTCAATCCGCCTCATCATCCTAGGCCACTTCAACCTCCACTTCACCCCCTCCTGCTCCATCTCCTCAGACTTCTCCTCTCCTCTCTCAACCTCTCCCTCCACATCTACTCTGCCACCCACACCCACGGTCACCCGCTCGACCTGGGGCCTCAGTGTCTCGGATGTCACCATCACTGACAAGGCCATCTCTGACCACCATTTCATTTCCCTCAACTCCCATATCCGTCTCCCCACTGCCTCCAAACCTACCACCATCTCCTACCGGCCGTGGAAGAAGATCTCCCCGCAGTCCCTCTCCGCTGCCCTGGAGTCCACTGAACTCCTCCCCCTCTGGTCCACCTCCCGCACCAACCCATCCTCTGCGTTTACACTCCTCCACAGTACCCTCTCCACCACACTTGACGTCCTTGCCCACCCTCACCTCCCAAACTGCCTCCTATTCCTGATCCTCACCTTGGTTCACCAGCCACCTTTCCTCGCTCAAGGGCCAGGTGCGGCTGCCGAACCCACTTGGCTCAAATCCGGCCGAACGGTTCACCGGCACATCTGGCTGGACCTCATCAAGACCTACCTTTCCTCTCTCGCCTCAGCCAAATCGTCCTTCTATTCCAGGTTAATCCTGGAGGTGAAGGGCAACCCCAGGCTCCTGTTCTCCACCACCAACCACCAACCGGCTCCTCTGCCCTCCCCGACGAGCCTCGCAGATTCTTTCCTCCGACTCCCACTGCAAGGAAATGCTGGACCTCCTTGAGTCCAAAATCGAGGGAATCCGCTCAGCAGCCACTGCCCTCCCAACTTCGACCCTCTCCCTAACCCCCATCACACTCTCAGACCACTACCCATCCCTCCTTCCACACCTTGAACCTATCGCCACCATATCCTCCATGAAGCTCACCTCCTGCTCCCTGGACCCCATCCCCACCCCTCTCCTTAAATCCCAGCTCCACCTCCTTGCCCCACTACTCGCCGACATCATCAACATCTCCCTGTCATCTGGCACTGTTCCTACCCCCTCAAACAGCCACTATCACCCCCACCTTGAAGAAATCTTCCCTTGACCCATCACAACTATCCAGCTACCAGCCCATCTTCCACCTCCTTTTTCTGTCTAATGTCCTCGAGAGAGCCGTTGCCTCCTAGTTTTGCTCTTTCCTCTCCTCCCACTCCCTCCATGAACCCCTCCAATCGGGTTTCTGTGCTGCCCACAGCATGGACACTGCTCTGGTCAAGATTGCAAATGACATCCTGACCATGTGTGACCAGGGCTCCCTCTGCCTCCTCGTCCTCCTTGACCTCTCCGCCGCCTTTGACACCCTGGACCACTCAATCCTCCTCCACCGCCTCTCCTTCCACCGCAGCCTTCAAGGTTCTGTCCTTGACTGGTTCAGGTCCTACTTTTCACACCGCCTCCATTTCGTCACAGAAAACGGCTTCTCCTCCAGCCCCCGCACTGTCTTGTGCAGTGTTCCTCAGGGCTCTGTCCTCGGTCCCCCCCCCCCCTCTACATGCTCCCCCCTGGTGACATCGTCCGCAGACATGGGATAAATTTCCACACTATGTAGATGACACCCAACTCTACCTCTCTGCCTCCCCACTGAACTCCAGGACCACTGGCGTCCTGACCGACTGCCTGTCCCACATCAAGTCCTGGACGAGAGACAACTTTCTCCAACTCAACGTCAGCAAGACCGAGGCCCTCCTGATTGGCTCGCGCCAACGCCTCCTCACCTCGGGCTCTGGCAGCATCAGCCTCCATGGCTGCACACTCAACCTCACTAAGCCAGTCAGGAACCTGGGGGTCTTGTTTGACCCTGAACTGTCCTTTCTCCCCCACATCCGCGCCATGACCAGCACTGCCCACCACCACCTCCGCAACGCTGCCAGACTCCGCCACTGCCTCACCCCTCAGGCCCCCAAACCCTCACCCTCGCATTCGTCACCTCAAGGCTCGATTACAGGAACTCCCTTCTCATCGGCTTCCCATCACCCCCACCCTCGCTCGACCCCATTACCCCCACTCTCGCCAGACCCCATCACTCCCACCCTCGCTCGACCCCATCGCCCCCGCCCGACCCCATCGCCCCCGCCCGACCCCATCGCCCCCGCCCAACTCCACTGACTCCCCATCCCCCAGAGGAACGAGTTCAAGATCCTCGTCCTCCCCTTTAAGTCCATCCCTGGCCTCGCCCCCTCCTACCTCTCTGACCTGCTGACTCCCTGCCAACCTGCCCACTCCCTCCGTTCAGTGGGCTCCGGCTGCTCCATGTCTCCTGCCCAACCTGCCCTACCATCGGTGGCCGGGCTTTCAGCCTCTCTGCCCCCACACTCTGGAACTCCATCCCACGGTCCCTTCGCCTCACTTCCTCCCTTGCCTCCTTCCAGGCCGGTCTCAAGACCCTCCTCTTTGATCGTGCTTTCAGGCACCCTCCCACCTCTCTGTCCTCCCCCACCCCTCCCTTCTACTCCACCCCTCCCCCATGCTCGGGTTCTGACACCTGACTGTCCAGCGCCTTGGGACGTCTTCGCGACGTGAAAGGCGCTCTATAAATGTAATTTTGTTGTAGCCCCACTCCCCCGCTCTTACCCCAACTGGCCCTATTCCCCCGCTCTTACCCCAACTGGCCCTATTCCCCCGCTCTTACCCCAACTGGCCCTATTCCCCCGCTCTTGCCCCAACTGGCCCTATTCCCCCGCTCTTACCCCAACTGGCCCCATTCCCCCGCTCTTACCCCAACTGGCCCCATTCCCCGCTCTTACCCCAACTGGCCCCATTCCCCCGCTCTTACCCCAACTGACCCATTCCCCCGCTCTTACCCCAACTAGTCCCACTCCCCCGCTCTTACCCCAACTAGTCCCCACTCCCCCGCTCTTACCCCAACTAGTCCCCACTCCCCCGCTCTTACCCCAACTAGTCCCCACTCCCCCGCTCTTACCCTAACTGGCCCTGCTCTTATCCCCAACTGGCCCCGCTCTTATCCCCAACTGGCCCCGCTCTTATCCCCAACTGGCCCCGCTCTTACCCCCAACTGGCCCCGCTCTTACCCCATAGCCCTGCAAATATTTTCTTTTTAAGTACCTAGCTGATTCCCTTTTGAGAGCGATTATTGAATGTTCCCCCCATCCTTTTAGACCTTGCATTCCAGACCATAATAACTCTGTGTAAAAAGCTATTTGTTAAAATCCTGTACCTGCTTCCCCTCCCCACCTAGTACTACATGTTTATTTGTCCCTATGGGATCTTGGTGGTATCATCCTGAGTTTGCTCGTTCACAGCTGCCACTCCAGTTACTTACATCATGTGTAGTGTGCCTCAGAATTTCATCTGATTGATTGCACCCGTGAAATGTCCAAGTCATGTTTTAGTCTCTGCCCTTTTCATTGGCCCTAAATCCAATGTGTCAGATTATTATTCAGTCAGGGAAACACTTCTGGACTGGAAGCAAGAAAGGTAAGAACACCATTTTAAACTGAAATAGTTTGCAGAAATGTGGAATAAGTGATGGAAAGGAATAAAGCATTTGAAATGAAAAATAGGAGGTAGGGAAGAATAGAGAGCTCAGTAAGGGAAAGCAAAGGATATTTTGAATTAATGTTTATTTTGGTTCAGTGTTGATATTCTAGAAGCTAAGCTATTTGAGTAGCTTTGTTTCTCTACTATTCCTTCACCACTGTAATGCACAGACTGAAAACATTCTGCATGTTAATCCTCAGACAGTTTCTATAGATCTGAAATTATTGGTTAGTGCACTCGCCTTGCAAGTGAGAGGACTTGGTTCAATTCCCGGGCAGGGCGAAACGTTGTGCAGATTTCCTTACTCCACACACCTCTGTTTACCCAGCAGAAAATAGGAACCCGGTTGTTAGTCGATCGGCGTATTGCGTTTCCAGGGGTAATAATCCTTTAACAAAAATAATCATAATAATTTGGTAACTCAATCCATGACTGTATGTGGGACATTGCTGCGCGCAATTAGCCACTGGGTTTCATCCATAAAATACACAGTCACTACACTTTACAGAAAATTCTGTGAAGCACTTAGAGATGTCTCAAAGATGTAATAAGGAACGATATCAAAGACAAGGATTATTATGAATGTTAATCCACAGAGAGTTTCTGTAGATCAACCATTGTAACAGTGAATGGGCACAGCTGATGCTTCTGAAATTACTCAGGTTGGCTTAGAATGGTTCAGAAAGACTCTCTTTCTACAATTTACTATACATACTTAATAATTAATCCTGGTGCCTCTCCCAAGATAATTTTCAACATGCGGAAGAAGGCAGGGTATAAAGATATGGAATGTGGCTCGTGTGTAGTATAAACACCAGCATGAATTAGTGGGGCCGAATGGCCTGGTTTAATGCTGTACAGTCTATGTAATATTATGGCATTGGGATGTGGTGAAAACATGCACGCTCTAAAGTGCAAATTGTTTGACAGATGCTTGAATCATGTCCTCACAGTGTCATGGCTACAAGGCTGCTGGCAAATGTACCTGCCTTGTTACCTGAAGATTCTCCAGCGAATCAATCCCATGTATAGCACTCAGACATCAGACTTTCACTACAATGAGAATTGGGTCCAAACTGAAGACTCCTAACTCTGTGATGTACAGAGGATTCCCTGGATAAAATGCATTTTATGTCCCAGATGCTTTTGCTTACAGTTATGGTGCATTGCTTAATGGGGTGGGTGGTGGGGGGGCAGTGGATTGGTGCATTGCTTTATGGTGGGGGGCACTGGATTGGTGTATTGCTTTATGGTGGGGGGGCACTGGATTGGTGTATTGCTTTATGGTGGGGGGGCAGTGGATTGATGTATTGCTTTATGGTGGGGGGGGGGGCAGTGGATTGGTGCATTGCTTTATGGTGGGGGGGGCAGTGGATTGATGTATTGCTTTATGGTGGGGGGGGCAGTGGATTGGTGCATTGCTTTATGGTGGGGGGGGCAGTGGATTGGTGCATTGCTTTATGGTGGGGGGGGCAGTGGATTGGTGCATTGCTTTATGGTGGGAGGGGCAGTGGATTGGTGCATTGCTTTATGGGGGCAATGGATTATTGCATTGTTCTTTGGGGGGGCAAGGGATTGGTGCGGCAACAACAACAAAATTATATTTGTATAGCGCCTTTCACATCGGGAGGACGTCCCAAGGTGCTGGAAAAACAGAGTTACGGTCAGGGTGTGGGAGGGGTGAGAGCAGGGGGGAAGCTGGGAGATCGAAAGCAACATTGAAGAGGAGGGTCTTGAGGTGGGTCTCAAGGCGTGAAGCAGGCCGGAGCCCGCTGAGTGGAAGGAGCGAACGGTGTTAAGGGATTAGGAGATCCGAGAGGTTGGGGGAGCGAGGCCATGAAGGGCTTTGAAGGTGAGGACCAGGATCTTGAACTTTATCCTCTGTGTGATAGGAAGCCAGTGGAGTCGGACGAGAATGGGGGAGATATGGCCACGGAGCCTGGTGGGGGTGAGGATGGGAGTGATGGGGTCGGGGAGCCTGGTGGGGGTGAGGATGGGGGTGATGGGGTCGGGGAGCCTGGTGGGGTGAGGATGGGGGTGATGGGGTCGGGGAGCCTGGTGGGGGTGAGGATGGGGGTGATGGGGTCGGGGAGCCTAGTGGGGGTGAGGATGGGGGTGATGGGGTGGGGGAGAGGACATGGGCTGCAGAGTTAGTTCGGGATGATCTGCAGTCTGAGGAGGGAGGAGTTGGGGGCCGACAAGGAGGGAGTTTGCATAGTGGAGTCTGGCTGTAATGGAGGGGTGTGTGAGGGTCTCGGGGGCTGCGGTGTGAGACAGTGGGGGAGTCGGTCCATGTTGCGGGGGTGGGGGAGGCAGAGTGGGTCATGGCGCAAATGTGGGGTAGGAAGGATAGTTGAGGGTCAAACAAGACGCCAAGGTTCGGGACTGGCGCAGTGAGGGGGAGTGAGCCCCAGGGATGGTGATGCTGTCAGGGCCTGAGGTGAATAGGTGCTGACGGGAGCCAATCAGGCGAGCCATTGCTTTATGGAGGGGCAGTGGATTGATGTTTTGCTTTATGGGGGTCAGTGGGTTGGTGTATGCTTTATGGGGGGCAGTGATTATTGCATTGCTTAATGGGTGGGCTGCAGTGGATTGGAGTATTGATTTATGGGAAAGAAGCACTCTATGTGGGAGGCAGGGGGCACGTAGAAAAATTCCACTGGCGTTAAAGCTTATTTTTGACCTAATTATAGTTCATTGAAACCAAGCCATTCAAGTGCTTGCGAGTCATTCTGATCCATAATTCATTTAATATTTGCCCACAGATAGGGTTTGGTAGAGTTATAGAAAGCATAAAATATGTATTCAGATCAGATCTTCCACAGACACTCATGGGTTAAACCTGCATTGCTGACTGCAAGATTATAAATCAGACCTGTGGCTCACTCAATCAATCTCATACAGCAGTAAATCTCAGACTGACAGGATTAAATCATAAAATCATAATACATATAACAACAACAACAACACACAACAAGATTCCATTTATAGAGCGCCTTTCACGTCAGGAGGACGTCCCAAGGCGCTGCACAGTTGGGTCATGACCCGTACCCAATAATTGGCTATTTAAATACATGATTTTATTTATTATAAATAAAAATAATATTAATTTGGTCACTAAATTCACGACTCTTTGTGGGACACTCACTGCTGTGCGCATTTGGCATCCGTGTTTCGCCCACAAAATATACAGTCGATTCACTTTATAGTATATCTGAGAAGCACTTTGAGGTGTCTAGAAGACATGATAAGGTGCTGTATCACATGGAAGGATTATTATTATTATTTGGACCATTTTGTCTGCACTGCTGTTAGCTCTCCACTAGAGCTATTTGCTCTTATCCTAGTTTCCCGCTCTTCCTGTGGCCCTGTTTATTTAATAACCTCCATTGCCATCGCTTGTTAGGGAGTCCCTTCAGAAAGCTCCTTTGTGGAAATTATAAATTGGAGACTTAGCATTTTCTGCAAATGAATTGTTAAGGAAATGGCCATTGTGTTCCAGTGAAATGCTGTTGAATATCTACTCTACCAACATCTAAGAAATAATTTGTATTCTTGGTCCCTGAGGCACTTAAACACAATCATACATCTAATCTGGACATGAGGTGTTAGTTTAAAAAGGTTACACCTGTTTAAAACACAAGTTGTAGATAAATTCTTAAATGTCAGTCTGCAGTACTCAGTGCAAGTGTTTTCTCTTCACTGTGCAATAATTTCCCTCCACTCTCACCCCACATCTCCTCGTAGAGTGCTGCTGTGATGTGAGAGAATGTGAGCTTACCTTGTAATTACAGAAGTCATTCCTGAAGGCTATCATGAGAGGTATTACAGGAATAGTCTGTCATTAATCTTCATTGAGAGACTGGTGTTCAGTATTGATTTGCCAAATGTCACCTTTGATCCCTAACCCTCGCTTGGGGCTTTGTGTTTATCGAGATCTCTTTTCAGACCAGATCTGGAATTTTCTCCCTCCACTATGATAATTGAGAACTAATCACCACTTCAGCCTAGTGCCAGGGAACATGGGCTCCAAACCATCTCTTCGCTTGCCAGACTTGCCAGAAGAAATTCCCTTTCTTGTGTGTTTTCACTCTTTCTGCTTCCATGGAGAGGATTGGTGTACTGTTTCCCAGTATCATGTAGGGTGAGGTGTCTTGCCACTGCTCCTCTGGCTGTGGAGTTTATTTGGTGCGGCTGTCTCTCAGGAGATGAAGAATGCAACTGATTCATCCAAAGCTGCTGATCACATGACTGCCCGGCATTCTCTTTCTGGACTGTACATTGCCGCATGCGTCTCTTGACAGGAGGGCAGGCTGCAGGGAGGTCTCCAGCACACAGTTAGATAGCCAAACCCACAAGTGTCTGTATGGATAGTTTCTACACTTTCCCACCATCTTGGCTAATCCATAGTGAGCTCCGAGCTCTATGGTTACAGGATAGAAACAATGCTGAGACAGACAGACTCTCACTCCCTATATGGGTGAAGCTGAATTTTGGGTCTCTGGTTTGAGCTATAAGACTTCTGCCTTAGAATATATTAGTAATTTTATTGCTAAATCTATGGGGGCGGTTCAATGTCAATATTTCATATATTGTTTATAGCAGCATTTGTACCCTTAATCCATCAGTCCATGCACTAGATCTGAACTTTGCCTTAGTGGTTAGAGCACTCGCCTTGCAAGCGAGAGGGCCTGGGTTTGATTCCCAGGCAGGGCGATACGTTGGGCAAGTTTCCTTACTCCACACGCCTCTGTTTACCAGCAGTAAGTAGGAACCCGGTTGTTAGTCGATTGGCGGATCGCTTTTCCGGGGATAATAATCCCTTCAAAAAAAATAATAATAATAATTTAGTCACTCAATCCACGACTGTTTGTGGGACACTGTTGTGCGCAATTGGCTGCTGCGTTTTGCCCACAAAATATACAGTCAATTCACTTTACAGCATATTCTGTGAAGCGCTTTGAGACGTCTCGAAGACGTGATAAGGAGCTATATCAAATGCAAGGCTTATTATTATTATTATTATTTTTTGTGCTGACAGCATCCAGACCGCCTCTGATCTTACAGTCACCACCTCCTTACGCCTCACCAAGGGACGCCCCACCCGATATTCTGCTGGACTCTCCAGACAGGATGGGAAGCAAGAAGAAAACTAAAAAAGCCAAGCTCACAAAGGAAGAGAAAGAACAGGCAGATAAGACGGCCATGTATGATATTGTCAGCTCTCCGTCTAAGGGCTGCACCAAGCTCACTCTGAGACTAACTCGAGTTCGCGATCAGCAGGATGATCTAATTCCAAACATGGACGGCAATACAGAGAACGAGGCAGAATTGAACAATATGCAGTTCTCAGAACAGACTGCCAAACAGCCAGGGACTCCCAATGATAACCACGACTCAATGAACATTGCTGCTCAGTGTGAACCACAACAGGAGCAGGCCTTTCTCCAAGCACAGCAGGTCCCTGTTTTACAGCAGAACACTGCGGCCGGAGCAGTGAAGCCAACACAATCACAGCAACAGCAGCAGGAGCAGTCCATGACGCCGTACAATGAGGTAGAATTGGATGCTTTAGCAGAGATTGAACGGATAGAACGTGAGTCTGCCATGGAAAGAGAACGGTTTTCCAAGGAGGTGCAGGATAAAGGTGAGATTTTAACATAAGTAGTAAATGGAAGAAAGCAAGTCTGTTCCTATCTGTTATACTCATCCTTCCCGGCACCCACAAACGTTGCTCATCCATTGTGGAGAGCTAGTTCTCAGTATCACTCCCATTAGCTGTTAGAAGCTGCTGTCGTCGTTCGTGACTGAGGAGATGCTCCCAATGGTCTCTTAGTGGCTAGTCAGATTGGTGCATTCTGCAAACTGATGGGACAGACTTTCTATGACACCAAAATGGTGTGAATTTGACAGAATGCACCAATTTTTATATTAACAAATTCTGTCAAATTCACTAGGATGTCACCAGGGATGAGGGGTTTCAGTGTGAGGAGAGACTTAAGAAGTTGGGGCTATTTTCACTGGAGGTGCATTCAGCTGAATATGGAATTCGTTGTTCAATGCACTGCTTCAAATCTACCGAGTTCATTGTATTTATTAAATCTCAGTAAAATTCTCTAAATATAACCCTTAGTGTTTCCTTCATCTGAAGTGAGCTTCTTTGAAATTTTTCGAAATTTTTTAAAATTTATGTTTGTGCCCTTTTCTCCATCCCCTCTCTTGCCCCCGCCCCCAGCTTGGTTCATCTTTCCAGCTTCTCTGAAAGCTCTTGGCTTGTTCTGTATAGTGCAGAGCTGCAGAACTAGTGCTCATTTGCACACACTGTTTAGAGGCAAATTATGTTTGACTTGATACAAGCTGATAGAACAGACTTCTATAACCTATCCTAGCACATCCAAAGTGTTGTATAACACAGCAAATTGTGAGTAGCAGGGAATTACCTTTTGTATCCACAGCTCATTCTTGCAATGTTTTCTGTTGCTCTCGCGACCATTCAGGCCACTTGGGTTTGATAGAAGGATGAGCCCTTTGGTGCTATCTGGACGAAGAGAGGTGTGAGCTGTTTTTTAATCGGATCTAAAAAGGTTCAGTGATGATGTGTGTAGATTCTGTTAACAAAAATGAGTATCAGTGACCAGTAACACAAAGCCCAAAGATCTGATGGATCACTACACACAAGCAGTGATTCAATTCAGTGAAATAATGTGCAGTTCTGGTCACTGCAATATAAAAAGGATATTGCATTGATTGAAAGGATACAGAGGAGAGGAAAAATGATTGAGGGGATGGAGGAACTGGACTTCGAGGAGCGATTAGGCAAACTGGGCATGTTCACACTGGAGAAGAGAATGTTGAGGGGTGATATCGTCTTTAAGATTCTGAAGGGACTGGGATAACGTAGACCCTGATAAGCTGTTTTAATTCAGAACATATCTGCGGAAACACTACTTCAGTAAGCGAGTAGTAAACTTATGGAACAGGCTCCCTAGGGAGATCCTGGAAGCAGAAAGTGTTGTTTGTTTCAAGAACAAATTAGATAGATTTCTCCAAGAAAATAATATCTGGGAATACAGTATATAGTTGGGACACGACATGTCAAGCGACTGCCAGGCTGGTGGAAGGCGAACTAGATGGATCTTGGTTTTCTTTCGTCAGCAAATTCTTATGTTCTAATCAATTCAGATATGTGATCTGTGGCAATTGGCTGTTGCAGTCGCCTAATAATAATAATCATAATAATAATAATCATGCAGCACAGAAGGAAGACATTTGACCCATTGTGTCTGTGTCGACTCTTTTAAAAGAACTATCCAAATCAACCCCACTCACCCGCTCCCTCCCCATAGCTCTGATCAACCCCACTCTCCCGCGCTCTCCCCATAGCCCTAATCAACCCCACTCCCCCGCGCTCTCCCCATAGCCCTAATCAACCCCACTCCCCCCGCTCTCTCCCCATAGCCCTGATCAACCCCCCCCCCCCCCGCTCTCCCCATAGCCCTGATCAACCCCACTCCCCCGCGCTCCCCCCATAGCCCTGATCAACCCCACTCCCCCGCTCTCTCCCCATAGCCCTGATCAACCCCACTCCCCTGTTCTCTCCCCATAGCCCTAATCAACCCCACTCCCCCGCACTCTCCCCATAGCCCCGATCAACCCCGCTCTCTCCCCACAGCCCCGATCAACCCCGCTCTCTCCCCACAGCCCCGATCAACCCCGCTCTCTCCCCACAGCCCTGATCAACCCCACTCCCCTGCTCTCTTCCCATAGCCCTGCAAACTTGTTCTCCCCAAATAATTATCTATTTCTCTCTTAAAAGTTGTTATCGAATCGGCTTCCACCAGCTTTTCAGGCAATCTTTGCATTTGATATAGTGTCTTATCACGTCTTCGAGACTTCTCAAAGCGCTTTACAGAATATACTGTAAAGTGATATCTATGAAACCTCTCTGAACCCATACCACAAGGGAACAGAAACAAACCTTATGCTTCTATCACACCGAAATGGTGTGAATGGACTGTGGAGAACACAGATGTGAGAGCAACAGAAAAGATAATGTGCTGTGGATACAAAATACCTCTGTACTTGCAGAATTATCTTTGTATGTAAAGTATATATTTTTTTGTGGGCAAAACGCGGCAATGTCCCACAAACAGTCGTAGATTGAAGTGACCAATTTTTTTTAAGGGATTATTACACCGGGAAAAACGATCAGCCAATTGACTTAACAAACGGGTTCCTGCTTACTGCTAGGTAAACAGAGGTGTGTAGAGTAAGGAAACTTGCTGGGAATCAAACCCAGGTCTCTCGCCTGCGAGGCTAGTGCTCTAATTACTGAGTTACAGGACTCCATAATTGCTACTCCTGACAGCAATTGTCTATGAAACTCATTGAGATATATTGATGTTATGGGTGCTATATCAAATACAAAGATAATTCTGCAAGTGCAGAAGTGTTTTGTATCCACGGCACATTATCTTTTTTGTTGCTCTCACATCTGTGTTCTCCAATGGGTTCAGAGAGGTTTCATAGTGCTGAGTTTTCCTTTAAAAGAAATCTTCAATCTGTTGGGGGCACTGAGTTCTGTGTTAAACCTCATTACGACTGTTTGTGGGACATTGCTGTGCGCAATTGGCTGCCGCGTTCGCCCACAAATATACAGTCAATTCACTTTACAGTGTGTTCTGTGAAGCGCTTTGGGACGTCCTCCCGACGTGAAAAGCGCTATATCAAATGCAAGGATTATTATTATTATTATTATTATTATTATTATTATTATTATGATTTAATGAGTCCTGTAGTTTAGTCGTTAGTGCGCTTGCCTTGCAAGTGAGAGGACCTGGGTTTGATTCCTAAGCAGGGTGAAACCTTAGCCAAATTTCCTTACCTCTGTTTACCTAGTAGTAAGTAGGAACCTGGTTGTTAGTTGACTGGCGGATTGTTTTTCTGGGGTTAATAATCCCCGTAAAAAAATAATAATAATAATTTGGTCACTCAATCCATAAGCACTCTAAGACATCGTCTGGCGTAAAGACCGCTATATAAATGGAAGTTGTTGTTGTCACTCTCCGACTGTTCATGGGACACTGCTGTGTATAATCGGCTGTCAGTCGCGTTTTGCTTACNAAAAAAACAGTCATTTTACTTCTGTGAAGCACTTTGAAACTTCTCGAAGATGTGATAAAGTGCTGTATCAAGTGCAAGGATTATTATTATGCAGAACGTGTATTTGAAATTATTTTCCACAAATTGAAGTTGATGCAGAGTCCAGTAGTTCTTGCAAAAGGGAAATGTACTGATTATTGAAGAGCAGGAATATTAACGGTGTGAGGAGCAAGCAGTATAGTGAGATTAGATAAGCTCATATGAAGAAAAATACAGCGCACACTTGTTGGGCAGTTGGCCCATTTCTGTTCTGTAAATCCATAATCCAGCAGTTCCCAGTCCTGAATCGACATAATATGGTGTGGAGCCAAACGTGTGTTGCTGATCTGGATAATGTTTGGAATCTTGTCCTGACAGTGATGAGAGAACCAAATGTGGACTCATTTGCAAACTTGATTCTGAATCATGAGTAAACTGCAGTTTAGTGGTTTGAACAATCACCTCACAAGCGAGAGGACCTGAGTTCGATTCCCGAGCAAACACTGGGCAAGTTTCCTTACTTCACACTCCTCTGTTTACCTAGCAGTAAGTGGAACCTGGTCGATTGGTGGATCAGGGTAATAATCCCTTCAAACAAAATAAATAATAATAATAATAATTTGGTCAATCAATCCACGACTGTTTGTGGGACACTACTGTGCTCAGTTGGCTGCAGCATTTCGCCCACAAAGTATACGATCAATTCACTTAACAGTATATTTCTGTGAAGCGCTTTGAGACTTTTCGACGATGTGATAAGATGCCATATCAAATGCAAGGGTTATTATTATTAATGTGTATTGTGGAACCAAACTTGTCTTGCTTCACTGGATAATGTCTTGAATCTTGTCAGTGACAGTGATTAGAGAACCAAGTCATAGAATCATACAGCACAGAAAGAGGCCATTCGGCCTGTCGTGTCTGTGCTGGCTCCGAAAACAGCAATCCAACTCAATCCCACTGGCCCGTTTTCTCCCCATAGCCCTGCAATCCTGTCCTCCCCAATACCCATCTACTCTTTTAAAAGTTGTTCTTGAATCGGCTTCCACTTCCCTTTCAGGTAATGCATTCCAGATCCCAACACCTCGTTGGGTGAAACATTTTCTCCTAACCTGCCCTCTGTTTGTTTTAACACAAAAGAAGTGGATGCACCAAATGCTGCAGTATCGGAGGAGAGGGGAGAGGAAATGGATAGGATAAATATAAACAGAGAGGAAGTAATAATAATAATAATCCTTGCATTTGATATAGCGCTTTTCACGTCAGAAGGACGTCCCAAAGCGCTTCACAGAACACACTGTAAAGTGAATTGACTGTATATTTGTGGGCAAACGCGGCAGCCAATTGCGCACAGCAATGTCCCACAAACAGTCGTAGATTGAAAATGACCAATTTAATTATTGTTTTTGGTTTTTTGGAGGGATTATTATTAGGCTCTGTGTGGAGTAAGGAAACTTGCCCAAGGTTTCGCCCTCTGCCTGGAATTGAACTCAGGTCTCTCACTTG